TGTACACGGTGTACTAGACACTGTGATGTTACTCGTTGTTCAGGCGGAGAGGCACGTGGTAAGTGTCAATTGAACCTAAGCATGTTCAGAAAAAGTGAAATGCACATAGATAGGATTAAAGTTGTATTATTAATATGTAGATTGCGTTTTTGGATATCATGTAGTCTATAAATTAACCATAACAAATAGTCAACATCTTCCTTTGTTTCCCAGCTGGCCGTGCAGAATATAAATCCTTTAAATGTACAACGATTAAACATAAATCTGTCCTTGTTTCTCAGGCTCAACGGCAGAGCGTGTGTGTCTGGCAGGTGACAGCGCTGGAGGGAACCTCTGCATCACTTTGTCCATGAAGGCAATGTCCTGCGGCATCCGAGTTCCCGACGGCATTATGGCCGCCTACCCCGCCACCTTGCTCACCACAGATGCCTCGCCCTCCCGCCTGCTCACGCTCATCGATACGCTGCTGCCTCTAGGTGTTCTTGCGAAGTGCATCAATGCCTATGCAGGTATGCTGGTGCACAGTTTGTGTGTGTGTGTGACGTTAGATTTTGTTTTTCCACGCCTCATTTAACACAAGAGAACACTCCGGCGCCACTCATATGACAACACAATCCAAGAGGGGGATTTATGTTTGAGCTGTGGGAGGGGGAAAAAGTCAACAATAGAAAATAAAAAAAAGCTGCTTTAAATATTTAGTTTTTATGTTATTTATCTTGAATCATCATCATTTTGGGAATACCTAGTTTTTTTTCAGGTTTGGCTGTTAATCGAGATATGAATCATCGCCACATACGGTAAACAATCGAAAGCTTGTGTGAAGCATGTTCTTGCTCTGTCTGGTTTTAAAGCCGTTTTAAATGAAGAATGTTGTTCAATGATATTCAAGGAGAAAATAGAAAGTCCTTAGACATTAAACTCTTCAATGTGAATGCAACAATGTGAGTATTGATTGCAGCTTGTTGCCATGTCAACTGTGTACAGCAGCAGAAACCAATAACAAGGATTTATTAAGTAGCTCCCCTAAAAGACACGAAAGTAGATGTTTTCAGCGGCTCCTGAGTTTAAATTTTTTATTATATCCTTTTCCAAGTTTGCGTTTTAGCCACCAGTGTTTCGCTATCTATACCTATTCAGGCAGTAAATTATTATTTGCTCTTGTGACTTGAAAAACGTCCCCAACCTACAACAAACAGAACTAGTAAAACGTACTGATAGATAGTTTAAAACATTCGACATATTGTAAATGTTATCTCTAACTTTCAGTCATCTTAGTAACACACAATGAAGTGGAGCTGAGGCCGGCCTTTAGCCTCCTAGTCTGTCAGTCAACTCAGCCACAACCCTAACTGTGCATAACTCTGACAGATGAGTTATAAAGAATTCTCCACCCAGTTTATTGTGTACCAAAAAAGAAATGAGCTATACAGATCATAACCATTTTTTGAAACGGGCTGAAAACATGTTTATTTTTCTGCTGTCAAGCCTGGCATTTAACATGGGTGCTAATGGGACTTCCAGGGCTTTTGCAGCCAGCCCCAAGTGGACATTCAAGGAACTGCATTTTGTTGCACTTATGCATCTGCTTCATTTTTCATCACCAGAGTTTTTAATTCACCAGCCCTCGCCTAATGTATGTCCTGTTGTCCTAGGTACAGACTGTCAGACGGTGCAGCCTGCAGTGGAGAGCAGCAGTCTGAGCGCTCTGGGTAGAGAAACCGTCGTGCTGCTCAGCGATCTCACCCAGGGAGCCTCCAACTGGATCCAGTCTTTCCTGGACCCTGGGCGGACTTCAGGTGGAACACGTTCTCTGTCGTCATCACAGAGGAGGCTCCAAAACAACGCTCACAGCTCCAAACAAAACTGTGCAGATCACGTAGAGTATCCAGAGGGCTTTCAGCCGCTGCGATCAGAATGCCTGGCTTTCGTTCACCCTACGTCCTGCCCCGTCATCAAGAACCCGTTTGTATCACCTCTGCTCGCTCCAAACAACCTGCTCAGAGGGCTGCCGCCTGTTCACATAGTGGTGAGAGAGGGGAGATGAACTGAGGGATGCCGAGGGCGGATATAGTTTCTTCTAACAAACAAACAATTCTCAAAACCTCCAGGAAAATGTAACGTCTTGAATTAATTTATTTTCAGCATGTAAATTTGAGAGTTTTGGTTTAGGTAGCTTCAATTTCAACATTTTGGAACTCTTCTAGAGCTAGGCTGATAAAAATGCCAGGTTGATATTGGATCATTTTATTTATTAGCTCATCTGCATATGTTGGCCGATAAATTGCAAAGAATTGCAGCACAGAATTACTTTTTTTGACCATTTGGGAACAGTGTTTTCTAAACATAGTTTGATCCCCAGAGGTCACTGACAAGTTGTAATTTTAGCTGCAAAATGACTCAGTGCTGCTCAGTACATCTGAGTCACAATTAAAAACAAAACAAAAATGACCATATCAAGATTGTCTTCGGATGTAATCTGTTTGTGTTCAGAAGTATGACTGACTTGTATTTTGTCATCAGGTTTTTGAATTCCAAAATATCAGCGACAGTATCTATGTACCCACAAATCCAGAAGGTTTTCCAGCTCATGGTGTTTGTTTTTTCAGTCCTTGTCTCCTAATTCCTCCATGTCTCCTCTCAGGCCTCTGCCCTGGATGCCTTGCTGGATGACTCTGTGATGTTTGCCAAGAAGCTGCGGGACATGGGCCAGCCTGTGAGTCTCACGGTGGTGGAGGACCTTCCTCACGGCTTCCTCAGCCTTACACAGCTCTCCAAGGAGACGGAGGCCGCTTCGGCGATCTGTTTAGAGCAAATGAGGAAGATTTTTCAGCAAGAAAACCCAACGCCTTCCCTTCACAGACGGACTAATATGCAAGAGACTTCCATGAGTACCAATCATTCAGGATGAGGCAGGCATAGGATGGATGAGAAAGAGATGTTCTGTGATGCAAAGGGAGAGATGCAATAAATTAAGGAAAAGGAAAAAAAAAGTCAGAGGGAATTATGAGGATTCAACAAAGACTGTAAAACCGCGGGACGCTTAGGGAGGCTGCACTTGAAAACTATAACGCACAACATTCACCTTCAGCAGCAGTCATCGAAAAAACTTCACCATAACCAGCTCTAACATGACTCACAAATGAAAGATTTTGGTATTTTTCTACCTATAAATACAACACAAAACCCAGTGAAATGTACATTGATGGTATACAGACCATAACCAGCCCATGCAGTCAAATCTTAACTGATGCACAGTATGTCAGTGGTGGGAGCTGTGGTGCCTTAAATTCAAAGCGATGCTGTATTTGAGTCATACATGGAGAAAAGCTTTGCATACATCAACAGACTGACCAAGAGCAAAGGTTTACTTTTATAGGAATATAAGCTGATGCACTGTATTATTGTTGTTTTATTTAGTATTAATCTATAACTTGGCTTTGCCAGTTTGTCATTTGTTTACAATACATTGATAAGTAGGCCTTTACCTTCTGTTTACCAGCAGTATGTAAATGTTGATGTTAAAGTATCTTGTAATACTGTACATTAATTATGAGCTTTTCTTAATGTAACTATTTATCACTGTTATATTTTAAGCCTGAATTAAATAAAAACAGAAGTGTGTCACCTCATCTTTAGCACAGTTCACACTTCCTACCCCAACATTAATAAAAACCAAGGTTTTGATTTAACAGATAAATCCTGTGCATTTCACATCCCAGACTCACGGGGGCTCTTGGATCCCCATTAGGAGACAAAACTGGCTGAGAGCAGGGATGATGATCAAAGTGTCTCTTTTGAAAGACAATCTTCCATGGCCTTTGACCCTAAAGGTTCAAACCCCTCTACAGGCAGTATAGATCTACATTTCCTGTTTACAAAATATTAACTATTTCATTGTGTTTGAGATTTTTTCTCTATTTAATTTCTCTGTAGTGAACAATCCATTGGCACACTCATGACATTTACTTTAGTTTTGTAATCCATCAAAGTCAACATTAAGACTTGATTTTATTTGTTAGGAGAATTCGTGTGCTGTCCTTTTTAGTAGAGGAACTTGGGCCCCTAAAAGTTGAGAGACCCCTACCCGAGGTAGAACAAAGCACAACCATATTGTTTCATAACTTGAACATGTCTAGTTTATGAAACGGATGGTTGTATAAAAATATTTTACTGCAAAATAACTTTTTTCGGATGTTTTATGCATCTTACCAAAAAACGAAAATAGATCAAATTAGGGCTTCTCCAAAAGAGACAGCTCTAACCTTATCACATGTATCTCTGGAAATCAGAATCAGAATTTCACCAATGTTAGATAGGATGTTCACAGATAGTTATTAGTTACAATTACGCAAAGTTTTTATCAATACCATTTTCAATTTTTGAATTTTTCACACTTAAACACACATGTAGTTCAGGCAGAAATTGAAAATTGAAACAAAAATTCAAAAGGTATGTATATCAAAGTCTGTCATTTTTTAAGTAAGGACACCAAACATTAAAACATGTCATTTGTATCTTCTTTAGACTGTTATCTCAACATAAAAGAAAGTTATTTGACTTTTCACTTGACCCTATGCTGTCACCAGCCCCTAACAGGAAACTAGTGCAGCCAGGATTTCAGGGCGACCTGGTACAATGGGGCTCTATGGACGTGCATGTGGGAGGAGGTGGCCACAAAAAAAGATTAAGACTTAACAACAAGACACAATATAATTGTATTCTGTAAAATATATATATAATTAAACATTTTATAGTTATTCCTAATACACTTTGTCTCATATTTTCTAGCTTACATGTGATTTATATGATGACACTCAGAGTCAACCGGTCACCTATGACATTGTTTCTATTTCATTGTAAAAAATTAAAGACTTGTCTTGCCATCAGTTGTGAAATATTAATGAACTAAAAAAACAGTAACCACGAGTGACAGCAGGTGGCAGCAGCGCGGTGAGCGTCACATGTAACAAACATGAGCGAGACGCCGAGGAAGAGGAGACGAAGAAGAAGGCGACCATGTTGATTTAAAGGAATAAGAAACACAATAGAGGCGATTAATTTCAAGTAAAATTCAGTTATTGAAGCGAATTATAAAGAAAGTAGACAAACGCTGCACCCTGAGCATCCCTTGTATAATAACTAAAGAAACTAAGGTAGGTTTTCGGTGGCGTGGACGCGTTTAGTTTCGTTTAAAAACATCGAGGACTTGTTGTGAGCTGTTAGCTTAGCATGTAGCTTAGCATGTAGCTCACGTTAGCTGGTGGAGTTATTTGTGCTAAATTAGCCTTGATGCTAACGAGCTTGCTAATTGTGCCGTGCAGCGTTTACGACGAAATTATAAAGGACCCGAATTTAAAACGCGTTCGACTCGATTGTCGTCAATAAAAAACAGGTTTGTGATCTTGTTTCGTTAATAAAAGTCCGTTAGAAAAACGAAAAGCGAATATTTTCAACGGCTTAGCGGCTAGCTGCGAGCTAACACTGATTCTGCCTGACGTTTCTATACAAACGCAGCTTCAGGCTAAAGTCGTGTTATTGATTTATTAAACCAACACGACTCAAGTATAACAAAACTCAAGTGCTTATTTTAAATTTAATCACCATAAATGTTTTTTAAACCAAGAAAAAAAATATAAATGTTGAATTTAATGTAGAAAACAGACAGTTTGAAGCTTGTTTTAGTGAATTAACTGAAATCCTAGTTTTAACTTCTTTAATTAAATATTTATTATTTAATTGTTATGAGATGTGTTACTACCAGAGTTAAGGTTTGGACTGTGGGATAATGTTTGGTTAATATTGGCTGTTAGTGCCTCAATAATCAGGTTCACCTGATGGAAAAAATGCAATCAAGGATTTAACATCAAAAAATAATATTAAAAAAATATATTTATTCTAAAATGTTTAAACTTTCTGTCACGTTTCTTTCCTGCAGTTTTCACAGACTTTGTTGATGTTGAATATAAATTTAAAAACGAGTTTAATTTATCTGGTAAAAGTAAAATTGTATTTTTTTATTTAACTGATGTACATATGTTTGATTTTTAACAAATATATTTCTATTTTTAATAATTATATTCCCGTCTCCTGTTTCCTGTTTTTCTTGAGCTGCTGAAATGCAAAAATTTCCTCCATGGGGTATCAATAAAGTTTATCTTCATCTTTATCTTTACCAATATGATTTTTATTCACAAGTTAATTGGACCGATTAAGCAATGCAATGTAAGACTTCACAATTGTAATGACTTTCTTTGTTGTTTGCGATTTTAAACTAAATGCAGTTAAATTAGAACTTTTTTTTGCTCTTTAAATTGATTAGAAATCTGGAACAGCAGATTAAGGAATACTCAAAAAAAAATTAAAATACTAGTAATTGCTCGTATAGGTCGATATAAATACTCTTTGCATCTACGAAAACACAATCAGGAAATGTACTAAATTTAGAATCCGAGTGATTTTTCTGCTGCTCTTGGTGAATGCTTTAACGTTTTGGCTGTTCTTTGTTTTTTATTTGTTTGTTTTTTTGTTTGCTTTAGGAGACAAGTTTTGAGTTTTTGGCTGATTTAGCAGAAGCGGAGGGTTTTTCACGGCCACACTCACACAGTTCACACCCCGACCTGAAGACCTGTGGTGACGGGGAGAGAGGGTCGAACACCTGGAAGAGAAAGGAAACACACACTGAGGACTAAAAAGGGGTGGAAAGCTTTTGGCTTTGGACTAGATAACACCCCTTGTATGATTACGGATTTCAGGATCAAGGTTTTTTTTTCTCGTGTGAACTGACCTATATCCACGCAGTGGAACTCAGCAGAGAGCATTACAGACTATATGATTTTGGGGAAATACCTGTACAAAGTTGGACACCCTATTTCTTCAAGGACAGGGATATTGAGCAACTCTTATGGACTCAAAGTGAAAACAGGAAATATTGTTCACTTTAGGAACAGAAGTTTGAGTATTGAAATAAGATTATATTGAAGAAGCTTTCCCCAAGTTCAATTGCCTTAGTTGTTCTATTTCAGGACTTAACCGCTTTGATACTTGTTCACATATAATTTTTCTATACTGTGGACAAGTATATTCATGCATATAAATGCAAATTTCTCTTCATTTCGAAGAGCTCTTGTGTAAAAACATTTTTTTTTGGTGTTGTTGTTCCTGTACGTCAGTCACTCTGTGACGGGACCGAACTGCACGTACATGTGTATATGTAAATACTACCGAATTGACTTCTGTCGTAAAAGCTTTGGACTTAAAAATAATAGAGAATATTGTTTGTTAATGCTTTATTAAACTTTTTTACTTTGAAGAGAATTTTTAAAAAGAAAAACCTAAGAGGCAAAAATCTAAGACTTTGAAGAGAGAAAAAAGAAAAGAGGAAAAATGGCAACTGCCAGAACAGAAAACGTTGGTCCGGTCGTCATGGGACTGAACAAGCAGAACGGACAGCTCAGAGGACAGACCAAACCAGCTCCAGTCCAGCCAGCATCCACAACTCAAGGAAAGGCTTTGGGATCAGCCCAGATAGCAGGTGCTGCCCTTCAGGACGGAGGAGGAGGAGGAGGAGGAGGAGGAGGCATCAAGTTTGGAGACGACTGGAAAAAGAGCCTAAAGCTCCCACCCAAAGACTGTAGGGTCAAAACCTCAGTAAGTCACGCAGATTATCTGACTTGATAATTAAACTTCTTCTCGACTGTTGTTCTAACACTTTATGTCGCCTGTAGGATGTGACGTCCACCAAGGGAAATGAATTTGAAGATTACTGTCTCAAAAGAGAACTCCTGATGGGCATCTTTGAGATGGGTTGGGAGAAACCTTCCCCTATCCAGGTTTGTGTGCATTTGGTTGAATTTAGGGTACATACTTTGCATCTTTTTTGTGTGTTAGCCTTTTTCTTTGTATTTCTGCAGTGTGTGGGTTATCTTGTTTGTTTTTTAGAAAGTTATTGCTATATTGTAGCCTTGGCTGTTTGGCCTTGTGTAGAAGCGTAGCTGCTGAATGAAATCAAGGACATTGCGTTTTCATGGTTTCTGTCTTTTGGAGTTTTATAAAGAAAATCTACCTTTTTTCTTTTTTTTTTTGGCTCATACCAGTGACTCACCACTCCTTAAATCATCTTCAAGGCCTTTTTGCTTTGTTTTTGATATTCAAGGTGTAAAGGTGTCTTTAATTATCTGGTGTTGTAAGAAAGAAAATAAATATATTTTAAATTTAAGCTAGGGAGGAATTTGTTGGCTCAACTAGACCCCCCCTCCCCCCAGATGAGGCAGATGAGCCGTGTGTTTTACACATTTCTGGGAGGAGATGTTTCCTGGTTCTGACAGGAAAGAAAAAAAGATGCAGCAACTTGGTTGTCAAGATTCTTCTGTGATAATGCATAATGATAACTGGAAAGTAAAGGGAGGGGTCTTAGTCTTTTCCTGAGGTTCTTGTTTAATTTTAAAAAATCTTTAGATGTATTTCAAAGGTCTTAAAAGTCACTAAAATGTGTAGATACTGTTCATAACTCAGGGCCAGTGTTTTAAGTGTATTCTTTCTACCATGACTTACACAAACCTTTTAGAGTCAAACATGTGGAATAAAGACTCAAACATTTTATCCTACACTAAAACAAGTGGTTAAATGTTGAAATCATAGTGTTTATGATGTAGTTTGAAAAGGACAGTAAATTGACAAAGTAAAACTACTGATATTATTTTGGTCCCCACAGGAGGAGAGTATTCCCATCGCCCTGTCTGGACGGGACATTCTGGCTCGGGCTAAGAACGGAACGGGGAAAAGTGGAGCCTATCTCATCCCACTGCTGGAGAGAATAGACCTGAAAAAGGACCACATACAGGGTGAGGCCCACCTCAAGTTTCAAACTGTTCCCTTCTTCATGGAGGCATTCTCTCTCTTGTCCTTCATGCTGTACCATTAGCTTCATATTTGTCTATTCTTCCTCTGTGCATAAATGTTAACTTAATTATTTTATGCTTTCAAGGCTAGGAAAATGTCCCCATTGGACAAAAAACACATCATGCAGTATTTATTTTACAGATGCAGTAATGTAGACAAAAATCGTTTTGTGTTTGACATGAAGCAATGTCATTATCAGTGACGCAGTCGAGACAAAAAGGGAAAGTAGGTGTTATGAAAAACGGATTTGAGAGTCTAGAAACTTTTGAAAGAGCTTGAATTATATTCAAAATAATCTTTTAGAACCCTTTTTATCTTCCCAATCTACCTCCCCTGTTCCCCTCACAGGTTCCCATCTCATTTTTCTCCTCTCTATAAACTGAATCGTCTTGTTAGTTCCACCATCTTTCACCATCCAGTACATTTTGTAACAGTGGTTACATTGCTCCGCTTTATTCCACAGCACTCGTCATGGTTCCCACCCGTGAGCTGGCACTGCAGGTGAGCCAGATCTCCATCCAGATCAGCAAACACCTGGGAGGAGTCAAAGTCATGGCGACCACAGGGGGTACCAACCTGCGAGATGACATCATGCGTCTGGATGAAATCGGTAAGAATCTCACAAACGCACAATATCAGGAATTTATATTTTCTATTCTTGTTGAGAAACAGGTCTGTGTGTGTGTGTGTGTGTGTGTGTGTGTGTGTGTGTGTAACAAATAGTCTGTTAATCTGGATTGTTAAAGGAGAGGTTAGGTTGAGGTACAAACCAAATTGAATGCAAGAAAAAAATGATATATCAATGTTTATAACCTTTTTATTTAATTGTAACCGTCTCCTGTTTTCCACATCAGTGCATGTGGTCATCGCCACGCCTGGTAGGATCCTGGACTTGATAAAAAAAGGAGTGGCAAAAGTGGACAGGGTCCAGATGATGGTGATGGATGAGGTAATCATGAATTGTGATCAACAACAACGAAATAAATGATCTAATTCTCGATCAGTTTTTCTGACAAGTCCGTCTCCTTCCATGATCGTTAAAATCTTCATGTGAAACCGTGTGTTTCCTCTCAGGCGGACAAGCTGCTGTCTCAGGACTTTGTGGTGCTCATCGAGGATATCATCAGCTTCCTGGCCAAAAACAGGCAGATCCTTCTCTACTCTGCAACCTTCCCCATCAGCGTGCAGAAGTTCATGGTGAGTCGCCGGCTAATTGCTGCATCGCTCAGCCAACTCTGATGGCTCTCGGCCACTTGGCACCTCTTGGCTCGCACTGCAGACCAAGCTGTTCTTACGCTGCACCCTGATCTGTGTTTGTGTCGGTTGTTGTGAATGCTGTTCTTTTTTTCGTCTGGAGCAACTCGGACAACAGGGGCAAGAATCTCGTTGTTTGGAGTCCCTAAAAATTCTATAAGTGTTCTTTTAGAAGCAGTCATGCAAACAGACTTTGATGTACACATTGATTCTTTTAAATCAGCCAAATCACCAAAAACACTCTTAGTGAGTGTGTCTTCTATACCATCGCGACTCATATTCCAGATTTTATGGTTTTGGTTCAACAACGTTGTACTTTCTTATCCGTTCTTAAAACGTTTTGCTTTTCTGTCTACACTTTCTCAACTCTTTACCCCTGTGTGTCTCTGCAGGCCAAGCACCTTCAGAAACCCTATGAGATAAACCTGATGGAGGAGCTGACTCTGAAGGGCATTACTCAGTACTACGCCTACGTCACAGAGAGGCAGAAAGTCCACTGCCTCAACACGCTGTTCTCCAGGGTAACCGACCAACTCTGCATTCACGCTGCCCATGCTTTTAAACTGCAGTCACACACTCTAGAAATGTTGAGAAGCCGTAGCATTTTGTTAATATCAGAAAAACAAACGTGCATGTTTGCAAGTTTTCATGGCTGCATCTCAAGTTTGAATTCTTCCTGCTGTAAATCTTTCCCAAATCAGTCACTTAAGAGTTTTTATCAGAAGCAGTAAAAAGGACACAAGGTTGATGTAATGGTAATGGTTTCTTTTCATTGTCTCTCTCTTCCTCACAGCTTCAGATCAACCAGTCTATCATCTTCTGTAACTCCACTCAGAGGGTGGAGCTCTTAGCCAAGAAGATCACTCAGCTGGGCTACTCCTGCTTCTACATCCACGCCAAGATGATGCAGGTGAGGGAGGCACAGCTGAGAGAACATTTTTGCGACATTTAAAATGGGATTCTAGCCTGTTCGATATATTCTTATGACTGTGATGTCCTGGTAGCTGATTTGAATAAGACACATGACACACAAATTGTTGGCTCTACCCAGCAAAGGCCGTAATCCTCCCGTTTGTTTCCTGTAACATCTGATATCAGAGTTAGAGTTAGATAAACTTAAACTCCACATTTTATGTCAATTACTTGATATTAAATGTGCAAGAGATATTGAAGGACAAATTAGATGTCTCTGGATCTCTGGGCACTCCTGGAGGTTGAGGGATCTTGAGTGGTGTGAAGTAGCTAGAGCTCTTTTTGAAACATTTTGCGTCTTTATTTTGTTCCCAGGAGTACAGAAACCGCGTGTTTCATGACTTCAGAAATGGGCTGTGCAGAAATCTGGTCTGCACTGGTGAGTTTCTGTTTTTTTTAACTTTAAAACTAGCTGTCCATCTGGATTAGAGAAAGGTATAATCTTAAATTTCCGTGTCTTCTTACAGATCTCTTCACCAGAGGTATCGACATCCAGGCTGTCAATGTGGTCATCAACTTCGACTTCCCTAAGAATGCTGAGACTTACCTCCATCGTATCGGAAGATCAGGTACGTTGTTCGACCCTAAAAGTAATAAACGGATTCAGTTTAAACGTGTCACATCGCAGAGGGGCGAGGTTAGATTTGTTGGGCTTCAAAAGGCCTTTTCAGAAACCAGTGGGTGATGTCATTGAGACTGCTGTTTGTCCGTATGTTATACAGTCCATGTATATGTAGAAACGAGATAACGAGAGACAGAGAAGATGAACAAGGTAGCAGCTGTTTTGTAAAACGATGACTATCCTGCATCACTTCTTTATTTACCGTGTCCTGTCACTCTCAGGGAGGTTTGGTCACCTGGGCTTGGCCATCAACCTGATCACATCAGAGGACCGCTTCAACCTGAAGTCCATCGAGGACCAGCTGGTGACCGACATCAAGCCCATTCCCAGCAGCATCGACAAGAGCCTCTACGTGGCCGAGTTCCACTCGTCCGGAGCGGACTGCGACGTGGAGGAGGTGGAGGAGAAACCAGGACGCCAACAGGACAGCACCTAAAACAAGGCAAGACGCTGGTAGATGGCGACTTTTGCAAAAACAAAAAGATGAGACCCGTCTTCCTAATCTGAAGTTCTGTCTTCTTTTAGGACTTTGGGACACACCGGGCTTTTGCACAGACATCGGCGCTTGCACACAGGCTTCAGGCAACTCTTCACTTTTACATTTCTCACTCGTTTTCAGAGCCTGTCAAATTAATTCATAGGCTGTTTTTATTTTCAAACATTTCCTTGCGCTAATCCTCAGCGAGAGCTGCTTCATTCTTTTGTTGTTAAAAATTCAGAAAATGTAACTTTATTGTTTTGCACCAAACTCAGAGAGGACCGTGCATCCTGAGCTCAGTGTATCTTGGTGAGACGGCAGTTCAGTCGGTATCGAAGCTGTTTTGAAGCGGTCGTCCTTGGAGACAGTTTTTCTTTGCCAGCAGAGACGTTGGTCTATTTTTTAACGTTACAATGGTGCACCTCCACCAGCCATCATTCTGTCCACGTACACTGTTGTCGTCACTTAAGTGCCTTAATAACTCCTATGTGCACTCATCCATTCATCACCTGCTGTCGTCCACAAGCAGCAGGGAACGAGCACAAATAAAATGAATTTATTATAAACCCAAGTTTATTTAAACATCCATTATGCAAGGGATAAAGACAACGCACACCTTTTCATCTCTCCTGATGAGAGGTGTGCAGAAACACGGCTCGTAATCCTTTAACCATCCTGAATGTGAACGTTTCTTTTTTAATGTGAACGTTGCAATAAAAAAAGGGCAGCTTTATTTGAATACTGCGTGACTGTTTTTCCCCTTTCGCTATGAATAAAACATGAGCAGAGTTAATATGAGAACATCGCTAAAGACGCACTCCCCCCCCCCGCTCCCCCTCATACTGATTCATGGATGTTAGCCTGCAGACGGCCTCATGCTGTTACACTATGGCTGTTGCTGGTGAGTTAGCCTGCACACAGCTGCGGTCTGGAGGTTATTGAACATACAAAAAAAATAAAAAATCACATCGGGCTGGTGAAAATGGAGAAATGATCGACTGCTCATGCTGGTAAATGAAAATCTAGTTTCGTCTCCTGCACGCTGCGGGAATAATGCAACCAAGACGGCTTCCGGGCAGCTTTGATGGCTTTGATTTGCCTTTACTGAGAGGTGATAGCACGTCCACGGAGTTAATGTTCTTTGTTGTCATTGGTGCAAAACAATAGATTTAATTTTGTCTTTTTTTTCCTTCTTACACCGCTTCGCATTCAGTTATTTTGTGGAAATTCAAATCAATTAATTACTGGAGCAAAAAAAAAACACATTTCTTTTGAATCCCCATCATTACAAAGTTGAAGTTGGTGAATGTATTTGTTGCCATTGTGAACGGCCCAGTGGTTGAAAGCCAAGCTCTTAAGCATATTTGTATTGCTGCTGTTGCATGTCTCCCCCTCAGGCTTCATCTTTCATGATGTGTTCAAGGGACCCCAGGGTGACAACACCTGCCTGGTAGAGAAAGAACCACACTGACTTTCAATGTTACTCCACTTAAAGAGGGTGGAGTCTTTCTGCAGCAGCAGCGATACCATTTATCCCCCTTTTTGTTCCTTTCCCCCCCCAGCACAGCTTTTTTTTTTCTTTTTTTTTTTAAATATATATAACCGAAGTGAGGGTTATGTTTTGTGAGGGGCGGGCTCTGTGTTTTGAAAAGCAAAATTGTAGCATCTTTGAACAGGCAGCTGTGACTTCTTTATTTTGTCCTCCCCTTACAGAGCGTCAGTGACGATACAAAAACAAAAGAAGACATAAAAAAAGAAAGTATTTTTGCTTTTTAAGATGTATTTTTTTGACGTCGAGTGAGGCGGTTTAAAGGGGGGGGGGGGGGGGTCGGGCTGTGAGGCTTCAGCACTGGGAAACTTCTGGAGGTGCGCTCTTTGCATCTTGAATCTTTTCCTTCTCTCTGGTACTTAAAGAAAAGCTCTGTCTCAAGTCCAAACTACACACAACACAACACACGTTCTGCTTCAGGATTTAAGTGCCAGAGAGAGAGCGTCGACTAAACCAGGAGAGAGTTTCTGAAAAGAGTTGAAGCACCGAGATCTTCTCCAACCTGTTCCATGTTTGTGTGACGGATGAATGGATTTTCTTTTTTTTTTTCAGCAACTCGCTCCATTTTCCACTCGGGCAATCTTTATACGAGGTGTTCTGAATCATTTTGAGGAAACAGAATTGTAAATGATTCGTTGTTTACACTCGTCGTTTACAATTATAAACCAAGCAACAACAAAAAGAAAATACTTTGCTTCACGGGCGGGACGAGGATGTGGTATTTTATTTCCTTTTTTCTTTTCATGAAAAAGAATTTTCAGGATTTACATCGAAGCAAAACCAAAAAAGGAGAATGTACGAGTGTGTGAGAGAGAGCGAGGTGTGTGTGTGTGTGTGTGAGAGAGACAAACAAGTGACTGTTTGAACAAGGTGTGTGTGTGTTTGAGAGTGAAAGAGTTTGAGAGTTGTTTAAAGCTGTGAGAGGATTTTTGTTTTAACAATCATTACATTTACATGCAGCTCCAACTAAACCCAATCTTATCAACTCTATCCCATAATGTCTTCACAGTTAATTAGTTTGAGGAAATAAGTAATTTATGAAACCAATTAAATATTCATGTTTAAGAGGCTACATTCCCGCTTCCTGCACATGAATATATTTAGTTTCCTGACGGTCTTTTAGGACTCCATCTTGGCCTTTTGAGAGAAACTGACCATTTGTGGACCAGGCGACTCGTCCACTTTGTAAGGTCATGAAGACAGATTCCCCTCGTTGCATTTTGGGGATAAACAGATCATCTTTGGGAAATAAGACATGACAGGAGTATGGAGGTTCATCTTTTTACTGTGTGACGGCCGGTGATTTGGAAACAGAGACAGTATTATAAGTCAAACTGTCCCGTTAAGTTGGCAGCTGCATGTACGCGTAATAAGGTCAATGTTCTGTTTTCATGTGCAGACTCGTCTTGTTTCTGTCGACGACGTATGATGTCTTATGTATCATGTTGTTTGAATGTTTACAGTGTCAGGGATGTGTGTTTTTCTTTTCTGTCCCCCCTCTCTTCTTTCTGGATTCTACATTAAGTCTCATTTCTTCAAACAAAGTTCTCCCTTATCATCTTTTTGTTTGTTTTAGTCAGTGGTTTATATCCCCGATTACATCCCAGACAGTCCTGTCATGATCTCCTTAGTGACCCAAAAAAACAGAGAATCCTTTTTTTAGAGCTGATCCTGTCCAAGAATTTGAAATAATAATTTTGTATTTTTTCATTTAACAAAAGAAAATCTCCTTGTATTTGTCACCAACTAAAAATAAGAAATCTGCCAGATGACTTCTCGCTGCTGTCGGCTTTCTTTGTTGCTTCAGACGCATATTAAACTTCACATCAAAGCGACAGCAGAGATCTTACAAGGTACCGAACACCTTGTTAGGAACCATTTGATCGTAAACCCCAGAAATAGTTGTTGCTTCCTGAAAGCTTTTAGGGGATGAGTTTGTCAATCTTGCAGTTGCAGTCGTTCATCTGAGGTCACAAAGGAGGTCATGATGGATGCAGTTCTGAATGTCGAATGATTGGGCTGTTTTTTGTTATTGTGTGTGTGTGTGTTGTGTTTGTGTGTGTGTGTACTCTGGCCTGTAGAGGCAGGTGGAGTGCTAACGGGGGGTTGGGGGGTTATTTGTCAAAATCTGTTGAAGGAAAAAAAAAAGGTTAAAAATTTGATAACGGTGAGGATTTGGGTAAAAAAAAAAAAAAAAGTGCAAATTCTAAATTCGAGGAAATAAAAAAAGTAACACCTTAACTTAAACTAGTAATACCGGCTGAGCTGCCCCTTCTATCTCTACTGTGCAAAGCGAAATCAAATTGGGCTTCTTAATTCGCCGCACTGATGTAGACTCACCCACGCTCTAAAGCTAGAAGTCGAACTCGGCAGAATTGAAGCCGTAAGCTGAGACTAAGTCAAAGCAGTATTTTCCCTGAGGCGACATGGAAAGAAACAAAGCGGTGTTAAGACTCTTGGAGTGGCTTTCAAGTGTTTTTAATTTGTTTCTATGTGGCTGGAGAGAGTTACAACAGTATTTTTTTTACAACGAGGACAATAAGGAGTGGAAATATTCTTCACCGGCTTGCAGAAGCGTCAATCCTCATACACATTATTGCTGTTTTTATTCCAAGAAACAATCCTGCTGTCTTTTTATTTTGACGTGGTCACTCCTCTTTATTGAGTTTCTCGGGTGCCTCAGTGTTCCCAATTCTCCAAAAAATCCAACGTTCACCCATGTTTGACATCACGTGCATCGTTATGGACGTAGCTGTAAAAGACTCAAACCAGCTTGTTTTGGATGTGAGTGTCTTTTCCTCCCTCAACATACCATGATTTTCTTTTGGTTCCGTTAGAGTGAAGGTCATTTATGATTGGGTAAAACTGCAAAAAAAAAAAATGTCACTCTTACATTCTTTTATGTTTTAAATGCTTTTTGTTTTTTTATTTCATTACGAAATGCATTGAAGAGATGCGAGGTATCTTGTGTTCATCACTCTGTCCTCTACTGTTGTAACTTGAAATACATGCAGGGGTTATACAATTGAATAAATTGGACTTAAATTTACGCTGCCTGGTGTCCTCTATTACACATCAGTCCACCTTTTTATGAACATTTATCCAGTCACATCAGTCATTACCTGAACACACAAGTATCCAAATAATTGAGTTTTAATGACAACATCTGTTTCTTTAATTACTGAAATGTGTGACAGGCCATCGGTAGCTTTGTACGGTGGCTGAGAAGTGCAAAGCAAAATTACAAATGTGAGACAAATTTACAGTTAAATTTAAATTTAAACCTTTTTACATTTTTAGAAAAAAAAAAACACTTACACCAAGGAAAAAAAACATTACATTTTATAAAACAAATTTACAAACGACAGAATCTTAACATGTACAAATGTCAGAAGTGGACCCTGAAGTGATCGAGTGAGGGGTCGTTTTGTTTGTTTTGTCGCGGTACGTTCGCTTTGCCTCAAGATTCTGCCGTTGGTAAATTTGTTTGGGACTGAAGTGATGAAAGTGTTTTTTGTTTTGTAATTTCGTTTTTTGTAATGTAAAAATGTTTTTCAAAATGTAAATTTGTCTCACATTTTGTAAAAGTGTTTAACACTTTGTAATTTTGCTTTGCACTTGCAGCCACCGTAGCTTTGAGACTTTATATGTTTTATGTCTTTACAATGGAGTTGAATTTATTTATTTAATCGGACGATGCAATTTAACTTTCAACACAGAACGTAAACGTGATGTGCTGCACAGAGTTTACAGATATTGCTCATTTCCAACTCTTGTCCCTAGTTTGGCTTTTGGGTAAACAGTGAAAATGGAGTACCTGTACACTAGTAGTAAACTCTTTTATACTCACGCTTGTGTAAACATTATAACACTCATCACAAGTTTGCACACAAAGTCATTAATATAATTATCTTTTTTTATTTATATTTATCATAAACTATATTTTAAAAGTGTTGTTACTTGTTGCTGTTGCCCCTCAACCCAACATTTGACCTTGAAGAAATCCCATAGTAACAGTTTACGTCCCCCGTTGTGCTTTTCACCAGCGAAATTCTCCGCCAATTAGAAACCTCAGAATATAAAGCCCCGCCCCCTGGGAGGGATCTCCCTCCTCCATCAGCAAATTGTATTTGAGTATGAATATTACGTCATTTGAGTAAATCCACGCCCTGTAGTCCTTCAAGCTAAAAAAAAAAAAAAAAAAGTGATTGACGTCCGTTTTAGACAATAATGTACGAGTGTCATTTTTGTTCATCCAATCATAACGTCTCTCGACAAAAAAAGTGGGCGGGGCCTCGCGTAACCGACCCTCTTCCTCTTCAGCGCTACCGAATACAACTTCCGGCTGTATCGTCCTCTGGAAACACAACGTGAGTAGCCACCGCTAGCTGTGTTTTATATAACGAGGGGTTTTCACCGGACACAGGTGAAAATATAAAAGGTGCTTTCAGCAGGTGACGTCACAGGTGCGGCGTTTGTGTTGCCTCTGGAGTGTCAGCTGTTTGTTAGCTGCTAGTTTTCATTCAGACACTAAGTGTGCTCAGGAGCTAGCTTAGCTACAGTCATGGCTCAGCAGGTGAGACAGTTTTCATTCAAACCTGCAGCTTCAGTCCACCAATAAATCAGGTGCTGGTCAGTGTTTCCTGCCTTTTTGAACCACGTAACGTTTCAGTAGCTTGTGATTTACCTGCTTTTACAACCTGCTGCTGCTCCAACTTACAGGAATAAACATGATGATCTGTGTGAAAGGTTAAAGGGGCATTCCACCTCCTGTACACAATCACACACACACACACACACACACACACAGCCTGAGGCCTGAGAGGGGAATTTTTTAATGTATTTATTTGAATAGGGACAATGCAATTTAACATAATTTCAATACAAAGCATGAAACTGATGTTCTGCGTAAAGAGTTTATAGATGTTGATCATTTCCAACTCGTGTCCTCCAGTTGGGCCTTTGTGTAAACAAACAGATTAAAATGTTCAACATTCAGTTACACAAAACCCCAGAACACGATATGAGGACACATTAAAATACATGTACGACAATCCAAATGCTTTAAACCAGTTTAAAATAAAGTTTTAAGATGCTAGTTAAAAGTGGGAACAGCTCTGGTTTGATCTGTTTTGTTAAAGATTTTAAGTCTGAGATTAATTTTATTTCAGGTGTTTAATGTGTTCCAGAGTTTACAGCCTTTGATGGAGAAGGCTGATTGACCAAACGTAGATCTGCGATGTTGTAGATTACAGTACACAGGTGTTTAATCTGAAGACAGGTGTCTAACTGTGAAAGAATAACCCTGATGATGTCACCGGGCTGAGCATTATATTGAGTTTTTTACTTACACACACACACACACACACACACCACACACACACACACACACACACACACACGTCAGAGTGACGGAGCGGCGCACAGCGAGCGCTCCTGAGCATTTGGTGGGGAAGTGATCTGGCACCTCTCCAGCTACCAGACCAACTTCCATATTTGGTCCGCACCAGGACTTGAACCGGCGACCCTCCGGTTCCCAACCCAAGTCCCTACAGACTGAGCTACAGCTAGTCTTGCTTATGTTGTGTTAAAATTCAGCCACCACTGTCTCCTCTTCACTCTCCGCCACCTCTCAACCATCTGAGCGAAACTGAAAAAGCACCTGCATAACAAAATACACAAGCTGTGTGTTGTGCATGATTATATTTATTAATATAAATAAATATTAATAAGTTTTCTGATGACATAAATCTAAAATCTTTAAAGGTCTAAGTTTCATCTGTTATCTTAACTCGTGTTCATATACCTGCATGTATTGGCTCGCACCAATAGCAACATATTCTCCTCTCTCTCACTCCTTCATTCATTTTCTCTTTGACAGAATGGGCAGTGTTTTGGCTGCCAGCTCCCCCAACCCCCCACCCCCGACCTCTGGGGCTGCCGTGGCCCCGGGGTTGACGGTCCCGCCGGGCTTTGGGATGCCTTCGGTTTCCTCTGTGATACCCGAGGCGGCATCCGGGCAGCAGCAGGAGGAAGAAAACCCTTTGCCTAATCCAGGGGCGTTCGATGAGTGTCATCGCAAGTGCAAAGGTAAGCAGAGGTTACCGATCCTTGCTAGTCATGACACTTCTTCATATTATCAGCATAATCGTAAAGTGTGTGTTGTACGTGGTGTTGCTTCTCATGTGTCTTCCTGAATATGCAACCATGTTTTCTCCTCAGAGGTTTTCCCCATGCAGATGGAGGGCGTCAGGCTAGTTGTCAATAAGGGCCTTAGCAACCACTTCCAGGTCAGTTAAGTTCATTTTTTTAATGAATAACTACCACTTTTCCATTTCAATCAGTGAAACACAAAATAAAGCCTGTCTACATCTTCGATCACTTTTTTCCACAAGTTTATGATCTGACAAAAATCTCCTGAAGCTACATTTTGAATCGCGTCCTTTTTTTCAATCTCTCTTGAAGGTGAATCACACCGTGCTGCTGAGCACCATGGGAGACTCCACCTACAGGTTTGGAGCGACGTACGTTGGGAAAAAGCAGACCGGTCCAGCAGAGGTACGCCGTCAAGTCAAGTCAAGTCCCCGTAAATCCCATCTGTGTGTGTGTTTTCTCTAAACATAAACTGTGATGTGAAATGTGTGCTGCTTTGTGTCTAGTTCTTTCCAGTCATGGTGGGAGACATGGACAACAGCGGCAGCCTAAACGCCCAAATCATCCACCAGGTGTCCAGCAGTGTACGATCCAAACTGGCCTTCCAGGTAAAGCGCCAACTTCCTCTTCACCTTCATCGTTAGTTCAAAGAATAACCACAGAGCCAAGTTTATATTTAGAGAGTCATAATGAGTCCCTTTGGTTATTATTCTTAGTGATCTGTGTTTATGATAAAAGATGAAAATCAGCAGATTTGTATGTTTGATAAAAGGAAAGGTTAATCAGTATGACTCTTTGGCTGTCATTCAAACTTTATCTTTTCTGTCTTATTCTCAGACACAACAAAACAAGTTTGTGAACTGGCAAGGCGACGCTGAGATCAGAGGAGAAGATTTTACTGCAACAGTCACACTCGGAAACCCAGACGTCCTCGTCGGCTCTGGTAGGTCTTCAGTCTGTCATCTCTGTCCAGTTTGATCGAATGTTTACATTTTGTCCCCCCCCCCAAAGTCTTTACTGCCAATTTCCACATACTCTGTGCGCGCACTATGCCGCTCTTTTGCTTCCACTCTAGTCGATGTTCCTGTTTCAACAGCGAGCGCCGGGGGTCCGTCTCCAGCGCGGGGCCAGCAGCGCCACTACGCTCTGCTCTGTTTCAAATACGCTGCAGGTCTATTTTTGACGGAGCTCGCTGCAATCAGGTGTGAAGCTGGACAGAATAGAGAGGGCTAGACACAGAGCGTGTGGCCAATTTCAAAATAAAACACATTTGAAGTATTTTTAAGAGAAAACAAATCATCCTCTGAATGACAAAGTAACACGTGCACATTTTTCTCTTTATTCCTGAGTGATCTTGTAGTTCTCCTGTGATGTGTGTACAGCTGCTCATGAGCAGTCTGACCGAGCAAAACCGTAGCACTGACTGACCGCGGTGCTCAGAGTGTGTGGAAATTGTCAGGGCTGCTCGATTATGGCAGAAACCGTGTTTGAAATTGAAGCTTGATTAGATTGCCCAGCACTCCCTCGTGTCCTCTCACCTCGCCTGATGCAGAAATCGTTCCCCCTCTGCACATGATGTAGAATCTTCTAATTCCTTAAACACACCACGAGGAGGCGAGGCTCATCATAATCAGCTGTGTTAAACCCTTCACATGTTTCAGTAAACAAAAGGTTTTTGAGAAGATAATTCATGACTAAAATATCCTCCGTCTTTATGTGGAACAAACTCAAACGTTATGAATTTTTTTAATATGACCAGACCCATAAACGTTTGTAAAGCAGGTTTTTACGGGTGACTCAGCCGTGCAGCTCGTCATCTGTACCCTATGTGTCGTAAAACTGCCGCTTCCTCCGTCCTTATGTCTCTTTCGTGTGTTTCTCTTTCACGAGGAAACGACACGAGTGAGGGGCGCGGGGGGAAACTTTAGTGAATTCAGGAAGATGCTTAAAGTATTTTCTATCCTTAAACACTTCCATCCATACTTATCTCTGTCTGAAAGCTGACATATATCTTAAACTGATCACCTCTTTGTTGTCACCGTGTCAGGCATTGTTGTAACACACTACCTTCAGTCCATAACGCCGTCTCTGGCTCTGGGAGGGGAGCTGGTTTATCACCGCAGACCCGGAGAGGAAGGCTCAGTCATGTCTTTAGTGGGCAGATACAGCGGTGAGTCACAAGTTATTTCAACATTTATTTGTTATGTGGCGTCCATAATAAGTTTCATCTCCTTTAACCGTTGTTAACTCAACCCCCCTGTCTGTACAGGAAGTAACTTCATCGCCACACTGACCCTCGGCTCAGCAGGCGCTCACGCTTCATACTATCACAGAGCCAACGATCAGGTAACCGTGGTGACTTTTACTCCATCTGTTTGACCCACTCAGGTGAAAAGAAGAAGTTGTGTTTAAATCTGTGTGCTGCTCTCCAACAGCTGCAGCTCGGTGTGGAATACGAGGCGAGCACCCGCATGCAGGACACCAGCGTGTCGTTGGCCTACCAGCTAGATGTGCCTAAAGCCAATTTACTGTTTAAAGGTACGACATCTTTATAACCTTGTACAGACGTTACCACGGTGATTTACCCGCACATGGAGATGTAAAAGACTTATTTACCAGCGAACTTAAAGAGGACATATTACCCCTCTTCTCCACCTTTTCAAACAGTCCCCCTGTGGTCTAAATGAAACATCTGTGCTGTACTTTGTTCAAAATATAGCATGAATCAAGCACCAGAGGAGGTTTGTGACCCTGTATAAACCAGCTCTCTCAGAACGCTCCGTTTTGGTGTGTATGTCTCTTTAAATGCAATGAGCGCCCCCCTGAGTTTTCCCGGTAGACATCACTTCTCTGTAGCGAGAATAAAAATGGGCAAAAGTTTTGTTTTAGGCTTGGGGTGGAGTCCATGGGTGGAGATATCAGGAGAGGGGATTTTTTTTTTTACCAGAATCCCACTGTGACATCACAAGGAAAGCAAATTTGAAACAGAGCATTTTCGTCTGTGTTGTAAGACTTATGCAGACCACAAACAAAGGACTGGATTGGTTTATTTCACATTTTGTGGGTCCCTAGAGTGAGTAGATCCTCAGGTAACCTAAATATATGTTCAACAACACTGTACAAGTGGATTTTTCATAATATGTCCCCTTTAAATATTCAAAGAGATGTATTGCGTTAGAATTTTTTTTTTTAAGTCTTGTAAAACGGTTGCATTTTTTTTTTTTATTTGAGTCTGCCGGTATCCCTTTTTTAAATTTGACTACTTGTCTTTATCTGTGTCCTGCTCCTCTCAGGTTCTGTAGACAGTAACTGGGTTGTTGGTGCCACTTTAGAAAAGAAGCTGCTCCCGCTGCCGCTCTCTCTGGTCCTCTGCACCTTCCTCAACCACCGCAAGAACAAGTTCCAGTGCGGCTTTGGCGTCACAATCGGTTAGACGGACCAAGCGGCGGGTTTGTTCCCCCACGGATAGACTCACTACGGACGAGCAGACTATGCCATGTTACACCACCGTGTGTCCCGTCACCTCCATCTGGACATTTTTCATGTTTGAGTTTGATCTCACGTGCTGAATAGAAAGTTATCAATATACTCTAACGCATATAATCCTAAAATATGAATGACCTAATTGATCAGAAGTGTAACACATAATGTGATTGGTCAGGGTTTTGTTGACTGTGGACTCTCGACGAATAGAAAAAAAACTGAGCTCTTTGTTTCCGTCACTGACTTCTGTGCCTGTTGTTCCAGATTTGATTTTTTACATGTCGTTTTTTTTTTTACTGTAAGTGTCTGTGTGCAGTGGATGATACTGTCGTCAATATTTTTTTTTGTTACAGACAAGTTTACCAGGACTGAGTGTACTGTACTGCATGTCACGTTCACAAACCATCACTTGTTTTGTTGCCTTTTTGTTTACGTTACATACATATGAAACAGTATATATATGACCTGTATATACCTCTTGGAAACTGATAAATACCATTTCTTACAAAACAAAACTTGACTTGTGCTCGTTTCCTCCAACTAATCACGGTTCCTGCTTTTGTGTGCATACCTATAACTTCCATAACAGGGCTCTTCTCTTTACAGAAATAAGTATTTCTAGTTTATAACCACTGCTCCCAGATTCTGTCTCAAAAGGAGAGTATATAAAATCAACCGCAAGACTGCAAAACAGTCTGGGGACTCACACACAAACTGATGGTATGAGCTGACATTGAACAGAAGCAGGGCGCTGCCAGGGGTGGCATGGGTCCGAATCTTATTGGCCACCAAGGTGCCGCCCCCAAATCCTCCAGACTAGGATTGGCTATTTGCCTTGCCACTTTTCAGGCTGTGTTGCAACAGGCAGCTTTCAGTGTGCAGATGTTTGTTTGCAGTTTTTTTTAAATGCTTTAAATTGTGACTTTGGACCTATTGTTTGGAGTCCTTGAAGAATTTAGCTTAAAAGATGTATGCTACTACTACTTTGTTACCTTAAAGACCATGTGATTAGTGCAGTCAGAAGGGTAAAGAAATGCTCTTCATTCAGCTTAGTGCTCACAAGCTTCAGGCCACCCCTACACAAGTCAGTTCCCCAGTTGGGCCACCCTAGTCCAAAAAGTGTGAACACACCCCTGACCAAGAGAAGACAATCAGAGCACGAGGGAGTCATAATAATTATACCTGGGTGTGACGCCTGTGTTGGAACCGCTGGATGTTCGGGCACCAGCCTGACGTGCAGAAAGAAAGACTGAGCTAAGAGATGCTACCTCCACCTAATATTGGATCAATCTTAAAACAGGCAAACAGGTGGAGTTGAAGCGGGTGCTCATGCATTTTACAATTCACTTAGCAGACGCTTTTATCCAAAGCGACGTACATCAGATGTGGTACCAGAAGCCAAAGTGGGTGCCCCACCTTAAAGCCTTAACCCTAATGACCTTAAGCCTCTTGGGAAACCCCCCTACAACTTAACCTTAAGCAACCCTAAGTATGCTTTACTCTTGGCCTTATTATAATCAAAACAGATGACGTATAACAAAACCTTCCCCTTACAGTGTTGACCAATAAAGAAATGAACTATAGAGACCCGAACTGATTTTATTACCTGGCTGTAAACACGATTATATCTGCTGTAAAATATTGATGGGCTCACTTTGTTTTTTGATCAGTTGACACTCAAAGAACTGCAGTTTTTCCAGATTGGCTTCATTCTTCAACGCAGAAGATTGCTGCCTAACACATCCCCATTGCAATTTTAAAATCTCTGTTATCCTTCCATTAAGTTGTGTATATGAAATGTCACATTGAATACACATACTGTGTTTTAAGAAGGAGCCAAGCTATCAAGTTTTCTTCAAAGTTGATAAAATATTCCCCCCAAAATGTTGGAGACCAAAGACTGCAGTAGTGTTGGTTTCTGTGTTAGTGGTTGCTTGTTTGTCTCGGTATAATTCACACTGCTTTGAAAAGCTTGCATAAGTCTTCCACACACATAAAGACGCCAACAGACTGAATATGTTCTTCTTTTTTATTTAATAAATTAACATTGGGTAGAATTAGAATAAATATCTGGTGGTGTGGAGGCTGATGGAGCAGTTACTGGGTGCTCTTGATGAAAGACTCCCACAGAGCGGTCAGCTGAGCCTGCATGTCCTGAGCGCTGGCGTCCAGCTTGGCCCTCAGCTCCTCCATCTCCTGGGTCTTCTGGGCGAGCTGGGTCTCGAAGGTCTGGGCCAGGGGCATCATGCTCCTCTGGAACTGGTCCATGCTCTGCTCCACCTTCTCCTTCATCTCCTCAGTGATGGGGACCATCTGGGCCTGCAGCTGGCTCACGCTCTTATCCACCTGCACCTTCAGCTCCTGGCTCTTCTGCAGCAGCAAGGATTTCAGGGACTCGGGGTCCATGGACTCGGTGTAAGGGGCGGCCTCCATCTTCAGCTCCTCCACCTGCTTCTGGATGCGGGCCATCAAGTCCTCAGCGTAGGGCCGGAGGGTGCTGGTCCCGGTGGAAAGGTCACTCTCCAGCTGGGCCCTGAACTGCTCGGCCTCCTTGGTGAACTGGGTCATGAAGTTTTGGGTCAGAGGAGCCACCTGAGACTTCAGAGCGACGACGTACTGGTTCACTGCGTCAGCGCTCTGAGAGATCCTGTCACTAAAAGACAGAATAAAAAAATCAGTTATTAACTAGAATCCCTTAACATAATTCTTATTTGTTGCTTTTAGGTCAGCTCTCTTACTTGACTTCTTGACCCAGCTCAGACGCTCTGATCTGCCTCAGGTTGTCCTCGGCGGTCATGGTCACCTTGGACACATACTCCCAGAAAGCATCCTTCACCATGTCCAGGTTGTTCTTGGGCTGCTCGGCCCACAGGATGTTTGCATTGCAAACTGTGAATAAATAACAGCAGGATTAGCACAGAGGTTTGTGTAAATGTATTCACGAGTCGTTGTTCATGCTGATCGGGATTTCACTCACCAGAGAAAAGAGCGAGAAGCACAAGTACCTTCATGATTAGATTTGAGTCTGTGGATTAAGAAAGTGATTTACCATTAAAAACATGTACAAATGAACATTTTCAGAATCTCTTGAGTCATGAAAAGTGATAATAATTATAAAATGTTTTACCTTGCAGAGTTAGATTGGCTCTTCTTCTCTCTGTGTCTGGGGATGTGTGTCGTTCAGGCAGCTGTTAACCGTTTTTATAGTCACATTTAAGGGTAAAGTCCTTCTTCTCCTGCCGTGCTGTCAGATTCTTGTCACTCCATGTCATAATTTATGTGTCACCGTTAGGTTGCTGCTATCTGGATTCGTTATGTAATGGTTGACATCATTGTTAATATTCAACAAAGTGTAGTAAATATTGTTTACTAGAAGTTTTTAACGCTCCTGTGAGGAGAGTTTAGCTGGTTATGAATCTGGTCTTTACATGGCAAACAATAACAAACGAGACAATGAGTGAGAAGATTAGTTATTTCTTCATGGTTTTTTATTAGGCTGATTGTAGCTGAGGAGATTAACAGCCGCCTGCTAAAATAGACTTAATTTTAGAGGGGACATTATATGAAAAATTCACTTGTAACAGTGTTTTTGAACATATGTTTGGGTAACCTGAGTGTCTACTGACCCAAAAAATGTGAAATAAACCTATCCAGTCCTTTGTTTGTGGTCTGCATAAGTCTTACAACACAGAGAAAAATGCTCCGTTGCGAATTTGCTCTCCTTGTGATGTCACAGGGGGATTCTGGTAAAAAAAAAAAAAAACCCATCCACCCATAGACTCCACCCCCAGCCTAGAGCAAAACTTTTGCACAGTTTGCCATTATTTTTCTCGCTACAGAGGAGTGATGTCTACCAGGAAAACTCAGAGGGGGGCTCATTGCATTTAAAGAGACACACACACCAAAACGGAGCGTTCTGAGAGGGCTGGTTTATACAGGGTCACAAACCTCCTCTGGTGCTTGATTCATGTTATATTTTGAGCAAAGCACAGCACAGATGTTTCATTTAGACCACAGGGGGACTGTTTGAGAAGGTGGAGAAGGGGGTAATATGTCCTCTTTAAATAAGCTTCCCCTTTCTTGTTTCTTTTGTCATGTTCCTAAAAACCAGTGCTCCCCAATGTGAATAACAAGGAAACCCAGATTTCATTACATCATAGTTTATGAAGAGATTTGCTGAACTTATCTGTGTGGGGAAATAAACGATGAGCGGGTGTTTATAGAGGCCTAAAGTGGACATGTCACTGGGAAGAGTTTACATAAGCATAAATCTGTACGATGTGTTCTGCATTTTTGGTGACACGGCTTAAATTAAAGATACTCCTTACTCACTCAAATAACATGTAATAAACAGTAGGACATCTCAGCTCTATCTGCCTCTCTTCATAATTCTGTCTCAAGGTCCTGGTGTGCGTCACAGCGGCGGGATGTTTATCAGTAAGTTTGTCCGGAGAGGCAGACTTTAGCTCCTCTGTGTTATCACACAGTGTCCAAGGAATCACTGTATAAGGACACATCCCATTCCTGCGTATAAAGATAATCTGCAGGTCAGATGGAACGACTGGATCAAAGTCCTGCTCTCATCTCACTGACCTATAAAACGTCTGTTACTTGTGTATCGGCAGAACATTTAAGTCAATCAAGCGTGTGTCTCTGAATGAGCTAATCAGCGGAAAACAAAGCAAGTTTGTCACAACGGGTAGAAATAGTTGAAACCTCCCGATCTTATCTGCTTTCATTTCTAACTCTGAGTAGTTACAACTCGTCAGTTTTCAACTTGAATTGAATCTATCTTTTTTTGGCATTGCTATAAAAACAGCAAAAAACTGTTTCGCAGCTCTTGTAATTGGCAGCAAGAGACAAACACAGGAGTGATAAGAATGTAAAGACAATCATTAAGACCATCATAAAAACACAATTTAAAAAACACTGAAGTCTAAAAGCAGATGTCAGGTTCAATAATCAATCAACAGTAGGGCAACTTGTATTTGTTTTATACCATAGTGAGGATTTTTTTTTACTCATTTCAGTATATTTGAATGCTGTCATACAGATTCTGATGCAGTTTATTGATGCACTGGTTTTGTGTGATTCTACGGAAGCCCTAAAAGGACATAAATCCCGATTGTATTATGGCTTACCCATTTTGATAAGGATGAGAATTATGCATAATTATGGGCGTGACAGAACTGACGTCCATGTTGTAGCAGTTTGTCAGGAGGCTTAAAGGCCTCTCTCAGCTCTGTGCCAGTCGTTAGGTTAACAGAAAGTTTAATAGTCAACATATCCAATATGGCAACCGCCATGGATAAGCTTCCAAAACAGCCCTTCAGAAACCAATGGGTGACATCGCTCTAGCGTTGTAGCCTTACAGTCTATGGGGTATAAAAAGCTGCATCTGTTTTAAGTCATGCTAACACCTCTAAGGATGCTAACGTTGGTCGTGTTTCCACTTTTGTCACAGCTGATATATATCCCAAACTTTTTGATAGATTGCCTCTATGCATGCATTCATAGACTCCTGTGGAGGATTCATACAAACAGACTTTATCTCTTGCACCGTCAGGCTAAATACTTTGGTTATAAACCAGTAAATGGAAAGATATTAGCATATTAGCAGCATTGATTAAGCTAATGTAAAGACATGACTCCATTTCAAGCTGTTGTTGTTTATTATTATTATTTTAATATCTTTTTAAATAAGTTTTGTGGTCACTGCGGTCTCCTTTTTTTTTTTTTTTACTATTCACTTTAAAAGCAGGGCCAATATTATTTTCAGATTTTTTTTTCAGATAAATTGAGGATAAATCAAGCAAAAAATAAAATAAAATTTGCAATTAAAATTGAAACTGGAATTTTAGGGTTGAATTTTTGTCAGATGATAAAGTGAGTATAAATTGTTATGAAGGCCCACATTGCAACAGTGAACTAAATAATTGTTAGAAAATCATCTTTGCTAAAATCCTGTGTGAAAGCTTTCTACATGATGAATAATGAAACCATGTGAGACTTTAAAATGTTTACATGAGGTGTCATCAGACGTACTGCTGTGATGTGGAAGCTGCAGTGACAGCGAGACACTCAGACTTGGACTTTAGTCCTCGTGAGTTCCCCCTGGAGGACCCAGAGGCCTATATATACTCATGATGTGTGCAGACACTCACACCTTATCCTACAGCTCTCTGACTGAACGCACACACAGGTAAGACACCAAGGAGAGGAGGTCACTCTTTATACATCTGAAGAATGACCACACAGGGCTAATTCTGCATGTTTCCTTTCAGCTGCAACATCAGTCATGAAGGTCCTTGTGGTGCTCGCCCTCGCTGTTTTCACAGGTAACAGAGTTTTGATGAATATTAATAAGTAATGTTTAGAATTAAACAGTGTTCAGACATCAACAGAGATGCTCTATGTTCTTTCAGCAGGATGCAATGCAAACATTGTGAGGGCTAACCAGCCAAAGCAGCAGGTCGACATGGTGAAAGATGCTTTCTGGGACTACGTTGCAAAGGCCACCATGACCGCCGAGGACTCCCTGAAGCAGATCAGACAATCCCAGCTGGGAAAGGATGTCAAGTAAGGGCCTCTTGAAAACCACCACAAACTTTGAATGGCTTTGAAGGAACTTAAAAATCAAGTGAAAAGTATTTTTTGTTGGTATTTTTGCACGATTACGATGATTTCTGTTTGTGTTTCTGCAGCACCATAATCTCAGAGAGCAGCGACGCCGTCGACAAGCTCAGCGTCGCTCTGCGCACCCAGGTGGCCCCTCTTGCCAAAAACCTCATGAACCAGTTTACCCAGGAGGCCGAGCAGCTGAAGACCCGCGTGGAGAAGGATCTGACCGCCATGGGAACCCGTATGCAGCCCGTCGCCCAGGAGCTGGTTGCTAACCTCCAGAAGCAGATGGATGAGCTGAAGATGGAGGCCGCCCCTTACGCTGAGACCATGGACCCCGAGTCCCTGAAGGCCGTGCTGCTGCAGAAGAGCCAGGAGCTGAAGGTGCAGGTGGATAAGAGCGTGAGCCAGCTGCAGGCCCAGATGGTCCCCTACACCGAGGAGATGAAGGAGAAGGTGGAGCAGAGCATGGACGAGTTCCAGAGGAGCATGATGCCCCTGGCCCAGAGCTTCGAGGCCCAGCTGACCCAGAAGACCCAGGAGATCCAGCAGAGCCTGGCACCATACGGGGAGGAGCTCAGGGCCACACTGGATGTAGACGCCCAGAACCTGAAGACGCAGCTGATGGCTCTGTGGAAGTCTTTCACTAAGATGGCCCAGTAAACGGACTCATATGAATGCTTGTTTCTCACTCAGAGTCGAGTTGATGGGACGGATAAAAAGTGCAATATCTCGTTTTTTTACGTGTTTATGCTGCTGTAAGACACTCAAATGCAACCCTCTGTCAGTATTTCCTCCATTGTGATACTGCTGAAACTATAAATATCATCTTTAAAACAACAATAAATAAGTTAAATGTATTCGGTGTTCACACTTTCTTCTCTTTGTCCAGTAGAATATGATCTAGGTCAATGCCGTCAATTCAAAAAAGATTATTTTAGAGCTGAACAAAGGTTGTGAAACAGATCCTGTTCAACATGTTTAGACACATTTAGTCAAACAGAATGTGTGTTTTTGTTTTAAGGCTGAAAAGAGGAATTCATTAGCTCTCAAATACAAACATTAGATTGCGTTTGCTCACAGCTCTTTTTGTGTGTCAATAACTTCCTCCTAATCTTTTTTTAAAGCTTTAAAACCATTTGACATGTGACGTCACTGAGTCTGATTGTTGACACACAACTCTGCTGTAAGAGGGCAACGTCTTATCTTATCATGACCCAGTCAGAGGTATGCGCCTTTACACTGAATATTATCTAACCTCATTCAATGGTGACCCCCTTTTTTAAGGAAAAAAACACAACAAATTAGAAACAATATTATGCATGATAAACCGAGCAGCAAGCTCTGGTGTTGGAAGAAGAAGCCAATGCTGAAGCGCAAAAAAAAATGCAATTCATTGAGTGTCCACTAAAGGCTCGCTCCAAAAACTAAGGAATCCCTTTTAAGATTTAGATAAGATTTAAAAATTAAGTCAACAACCTTTTTACCTCAAATCAGCTGTTTTGTATGTGACTGGTGACTGTTTTATTTGAATACTATTTGGAAGTTTTCATAATGAAATCTGAGTCTTTTTTTCTTTATATTCTGTTTATCATGCCGCACAGTAATGCAGTGGTTAGCGCTGTTGCTGTATGTCAAGAAGGTTCCTGGTTTGAATCCTCAGAAGGACAGGGTTAGGGTTTCATATTTCTGTATGGAGCTTGCAAGTTCTCCCCTTGCATGCATGGGTTCCCTCTGGGTACTCTGGCTTCCTCCAACCAGTGGCAACTGGTGCATTATTGTCCAGGGTGGGCACAAGTTCTGGGATGTACAAGTGAGTTTGTTAACTTGATCCTAACACATACTAGAAAATGCCATTAACTGGCTAACAGAAATAGCGTCGCAACAAACAACACCATATGCACTCGTACTTACAGGCATTTTGTTCCTAAACTACGTGGACACAAACGCCATGCTAGTCAGGTCTGCTGCTCTGATCCAGTGACACTGCATGACTCGCTCTTTATGTCTCAGTCCCTCTGTCGCCTACGTTTGGGTTGTGGTTTGCAGTGCATTCAGGGTTGCATTTTCCAGCACCCATCAAAGCCCCTATCAGGCGCAAATGCGCATGTAAAACTCATAACGCGGGTCAATGGAGGCCCGGAGCGCTGGATTCTAGCAACCCAAAATGGAAACATGACACCAATCAGTAACTTGAGACACGTAGAAAGTTTTAAATCTACATTTTGATTGTGAATACATTTTACTCACTGACTTAAAGATGTTGACTTTGTCCTGTTACAATTCAACATGTTTGTATAACGTATAATAAAAACTCATTTTACAAGATCTTATTCAGTGAAGGTCTGAAATTGGTGCCGTCCAACCACTCCCGACATATCCTTTAGCGCCCTCTATTGAGGCCGCCACTGCCTCCTACAGTCATTTAACTTGCCTGCAGATGTGACTGATGGTTTGTCCCTTTATGATTGACTGGTGACCAGCCTCTTCCCAATGATAGCTGGTATCAGCTCCAAACCCCGACCCTGAATGGGACAAGCAGTATAGGTAATGGATGGCTGGGTGGATCTTCTGACATCCCCTTTCAAGTCCTTTTAAGGGGGTCTTGATAAACAGTGTTGGGACCCAATGCCACAACGTCAGTGCATCATAATCACTGGGCCGGTAGACTAGTGGTAAATGGACTTATAGCAAAGCTTGTCTTCTGACCACCGTGTACAGAGGCTGTGGTCCTCCAGCAGGGGGCCCGGGTTTGAGTCCGACCTGTGGCTCCTTTCTCGAATGTCATTCCCCACACTCTCTCTCCCTCCCTCATTTCTGACTCTATCCACTGTCCTATATTTAAATAAAGACATAAAAAGCCTTCAAAAATAAACCTTCAAAAAACAACACTAATGTTGCGCGACAATCTTCTGATGGCTGTCAATGCCTTTGCGTTTGTGTATCAATCAAAGGTCAAAGTTAATGAAGTTATTCATTTGTTTCACTGACAAACATACAAATCAATCTGTTGGCAGTGTTCCCATCTGATGTTACATAAAAGCATGAAGTTAACTGTTCAAGCAGACTTTGAGCCAGATCAGCTGGACAATGATATGATAGAAGAAGAATGACCTTTAGCTGCTGTGTTAAAGTTACGGTGGTGACACAGACAAGCGCAGTGATAAATTCAGATCTTCCCCAGATAATATGAAGCTGCAGTTTCATTTTTGTTCCCCACTAGATAATTGTAGTTCAGAGAGAGGAAGACAAGATCAAATTTTCTGTAAGGACATGTACTTATCAAACTTGATATTGTGATTCAGAGGCCTTAACGGCGTGCACAATATTGTGATTCAGAGGCCTTAACGGCGTGCACAATATTGTGATTCAGAGGCCTTAACGGCGTGCACAATATTGTGATTCAGAGGCCTTAACGGCGTGCACAATATCATGCATTTTTTTAAGGTGTTCCTAATTTCTAACCTGTGCCCACCATGTGTACTTTCATTATGTGACGTGGAGCCAAAATAACACACACACAGCAATAAAAGATGACAACAACACAGGCTGTGCTGGGAACTTCGGACACAGGTCAGATATCCTCCTGACAACATTTATTGGATCGCATCAAAGCCACATGAGCTGTATAAATACAGAGCGAGAGAAAGAGAGAGTCCCACTCACAGAAGTCACAGATCAGGATCTCTAAGGTGAGCCGCACGCCGACTAAATCTTTAACAGCTGATTGAGTCTTGATTGTGTTTTTGTTTTGTGTGTTTTTAACTGTGAGGTATATGTGTGTGTTTCTATGGGTATGCCTCAGAAAATGAACCTCTAACCATCGTCTCTGTGTTGAGATCTTTTTAACCTGTTGTGTTATAATATTCCAGGTGTCCTTATTCTGCTCATCATGAGGGTCTTTGCTGTCATCTTTGTGTTGGCTGTCCTGTCAGGTGAGCTCAATTTCTTATCAGAGACACATAAACCTCTTTTTCTATTTTAAAAATATTCCTAAAAGACTATTTCAGGTGGAAAATGTTTCAGATATCAAATACCAAAAGGAAAGCTTTTGTCAAAAGTGAAAAAGTGAAAGTGAAAAGTGAAAGTTTAAGAAAGAGAAGAGAGTAGGAGTCAATGTAAATGTGAAAAGAAGGAAAGGAAGCAAGAAAGAAAGGAACGAGAGATAGGAGATGAAGGAATATTTTTATTTGTAGTTTAATTGAGAATTCATTTAAACTTGAGGGCTTTTAGATGAAGTCAGTCTACTTTATGGTCCGTCACTATGTTTGTCATCTTGTTGGTCATATTTTAAAAAACTGTCACAAGTTGTCTCCAAACATGTGAGCAACGGTTTGATCCTCAATCAAACAACTACAAAAAAAAAAAAGAAGTCTTCCATCTTGTTTTACTCTCCATGAACAAGACGTGAGTGTTAAAGTCGACTGTTTCCTCCTCCACCAGGCTGCCATGCCAAAAGTATATTTCAGGCGGACGACCCAACCCCCTGGGAGGTCACCGTCGACAAGTTCCAGGATTACTTCACAGACCTGAACATGAGGGCCGAAGGCATGGTGAAAGACATCCAGAGCTCCCAGATCAGCCGAGAGCTGGAGTGAGTTCATTCACGTAAACACTGACCGATCAAACACTGACCGATCAAACACTGACCGATTCAGCGTCGCTATCAGAGTCATAAATCAACACTGCAACGTTTTATCAGCTGTGAACTCTGTGTTGATATTTTATTCACTTTATCTGCTGTAAATGATCACAGCTGTTGTATAACCAAATACTAGAGTTGGCAGGTGATGTTTTTGTGTAATTCTGATATTAACAGTGTTGATAAAGGAAAAACATTCAGAGCAGGTTTGAGGGAATCTGACAGAAATCTCGACTGTCAAACTCTTCATTTCTGGCATTCTGGGGAATTATTTTGCACCAATTTGTTTCTTTTCTGCACCACTGTATTACGTCTGAGTTGCATCCTGCACACCAATCACAGCTCTGCAGTAAATCCTAACTTAGTCAAGGTTATAATCTTCAGTTTCTGCAGACTGTATTATTATGAGGGCGCTATTTCCGGGTAAATGCACCTAAACTGGCAACAGAGTGAGATGTTTTAGTTTACCTCTGATCAATAAACTCTTCCTCTTAAACAAAAGAGTAAGTGGGACAAGCTCGTTTTTGTCTCGGTCTTTGTGCTCTTGTCACACTGCTTCAAGTATGTTTGACAGAGTTTAAAAAAGCATCAACACGTTGCTGTTAGACTTCTGCCCACTTACACAAACACTCTGCCGTGAGCTGAGTCAGTGTGAGGAGGTTCATCAGCATGTGTCAGAGAGGTGAGACATGCACACAGAGACTGCTGAGGCCTGCAGGACTCACAGGACTTTCAGGTCTTGAGTCAATCAAATATAATAGGACAAGAGGATAGAGCAGAGGACTGTTTTCACATTTTGAAAAGAAAGACAAGCTTTTTCATACCAAGTAAAGAATTATACTGCTCTGACCTCAGTCTCTGACCTCATTCTCCAAACGCATTCTCCGACCTCATTCTCCGACCTCAGTCTCTGACCTCATTCTCTGACCTCAGTCTCTGACTCATTCTCTGACCTTAGTCTCTGACCTCAGTCTCTGTCCTCATTCTCTGACCTCAGTCTCTTACCTCATTCTTCAACCTCAGTCTCTGACCTCATTCTCCAACCTCAGTCTCTGACCTCATTGTCTGACCTCAGTCTCTTACCTCATTCTTCAACTTCAGTCTCTGACTTCATTGTCTGACCTTAGTCTCTGACCTCAGTCTCTGTCCTCATTCTCTGACCTCAGTCTCTTACCTCATTCTTCAACCTCAGTCTCTGACCTCATTCTCCAACCTCAGTCTCTGACCTCATTGTCTGACCTCAGTCTCTTACCTCAGTCTCTGTCCTCATTCTCCAACCTCAGTCTGTGTCCTCATTCCCCGACCTCATTCTTCAACCTCAGTCTCTGACCTCATTCTCCGACCTCAGTCTCTGACCTCATTCTCCGACCTCAGTCTCTGACTTCATTGTCTGACCTCAGTCTCTGACCTCAGTCTCTGTCCTCATTCTCCAACCTCAGTCTGTGTCCTCATTCCCCGACCTCAGTCTTTTACCTCAGTCTCTGACCTCATTCTCCGACCTCAGTCTCTGACCTCATTCTCTGACCTCAGTCTCTGTCCTCATTCTCCGACCTCAGTCTGTGTCCTCATTCTCCGACCTCATTCTTCAACCTCAGTCTCTGTCCTCATTCTCCGACCTCAGTCTGTGTCCTCATTCTCCGACCTCAGTCTTTTACCTCAGTCTCTGACCTCATTCTCCGACCTCAGTCTCTGACCTCATTCTCTGACCTCAGTCTCTGTCCTCATTCTCCGACCTCAGTCTGTGTCCTCATTCTCCGACCTCATTCTTCAACCTCAGTCTCTGTCCTCATTCTCCGACCTCAGTCTTTTACCTCAGTCTCTGACCTCAGTCTCTGTCCTCATTCTCCGACCTCAGTCTGTGTCCTCATTCTCCGACCTCAGTCTTTTACCTCAGTCTCTGACCTCAGTCTGGCACACTTTAAATCCTAATGGCTTTACAAACACCACAGTCTCTTTTCTGGTTCATTAGAGTTTTTCTGTTTAATTTCAGCCGATTTTGAGTCTTTTTCATCAAAATAATTTGATCATGCATCAGTTTCTCTGACATGAAGGGAAAAATAGATAGATAAACACTTTAAAAGACACTAAGCAAAGCATAAATCAAAAAATGTAATGAAGAAAATAAGCTTTTATTTTCCTTTTTCAACCAAAATCAGGCATTTATCTGCTCTGAAGTCACTCTTGACCCCCTTTGGATCCTGATTGCTTCACTAAAACACCAACAAAGTCTCTTTCCTGGCACATTATTTGAACTTTAATTGGTTTAATCTCATCTAATATTGAACCCTTACTCTGTTTTTTTAGTCAACATCCTTTGATTTTGCATTTATAACTTGGTATATTAGATCTATCTACATGTGCATCTCTGCTGAAACTTAGTGAAGGATAATTTCAAATACATTACAAGAAGATTAAGTTTGTATCTTTAGTCATTCAAAAAATCATTCATTGGCTCTGACTCCTTTTTAAATGAAACGCAGACATCACCCCTAAAATCCTCTTTTTTAACCCCCCTGGCAGCACCCTGATCCAGGACAGCATGTCTGAACTCTCCATGTACAAAGACGACCTGCAGACCAAGCTGGCCCCCTACGCACAGGAGGCCGGGGAGCGTCTGGCCACAGACCTGCAGAAGCTGGGCAACAAACTGCGCGATCACATGATGGAGGCCCAGGACCAGATGGAGAAGTACGGCATGGAGCTGCAGACCATGATGGAGCAAAATGCCGATGACGTCAGGGTCAGGGTCAACGCCTACACCCGCAAGATGAAGAAACGCCTCAACAAGGACACCGAGGAGATCAAGAGGTGAGAGACACACACACGCTGAAGCGAGGCGGCGTTCACAGCAGGCTGATGGGAAACTCTGTCCAGTAAGAGGATTTGATGGTTTCTATAACTTTTATATCTAAACTAGCAAGAACTTTAGACTGTTTTTATGAGTTTAATTTGATTGAATTTAAGTTCTGATGAGATTTTCAGCAACTACACTTTAACTATACAGCTGCCTCTTGAATACTAAATACTAATCTGTATTTTGATAAATTAACTTTTTAATTATTCTTCCAGGATTAGGCTTAGCGATAATAAGATGATGGTAAATTTAACTTAATAAAGAACATTTATTATAATTGCTTGAGCCATTTGTCGAGCAATAACACCAAACATTCTCTGATTCCATTTTTATAAATATTAAGATTTGCTGTTTTTTTCATGATTATAGCTCCTGTGAGCAGTTTTTTAACTAGTTTTAAAACAGACTGAAATGAATGTTGATGTCTCTTTATGCACTACAAAAGCAAATGAGACCATTAGCGAGAAGATTGATTTCTTCTATGTAGTCATTTTGAAAGCTTCTAACCCGCTGCTGCAGGGTAGGTGGCAGTCAAGACGAGAGAGGGCACAACAAGTGTTCACACTGACAGATATATTTGAAGGTTAAAAGAAAGCAAGAGGAGATTTATGTCAGCAAACACGACTTACACATGTAGAGGAGGAGATCAGTAAAGAGATATGACAGCTCATGTTTCATCGTTTCATTACATGATTGTGTATTTTATGGGATTATGTTTTCACAGTCCTATGTTAGGACTTTAGCTTGTTAGTGTTTTAACATTATAAGATACAAAGACTCTTGTATTTACATAGTAGGCCTATGAAATAACATTTATATAAATAACGTAACAACTTAGACTTTGACAACTTGATTTATCCCAGAGGGAAATTTGGTTCCACAGTCCACCCAGACAATGCATACATTTACAAACAAACAACAGAAGGAGATTAATCAGAGACAAACAACCAAATCAGTATTTGACAAAGGTAACGCTGAAACCCTCGTGTGGTCTCTTTGGGCAATGACACCCACAAGGGCCTGATGAAAAACTAAGTCAACATCAACAATCATAATTTCTTTGAGTTTTGTTTTTGACTCAGCTCTTTTCCTCGTCTTCAGACATGTTTCAGACTACCTGGAAGAGATTCAGATCCGCACATCAGACAACATGGAGGACCTGAGGGTTCGTTTCGACCCTTATGTGGCTCAGGTGCGTGACAACACCCAGGCTAAGTTCACCACCCTGAACGATCTGCTGAGCTCGCAGGTGGAGAACCTGAAGGAAAAGATGCAGATGGCAGCCGAGGAACTGAAATCCACCATGGGTGACAAGATGGGGGAGCTGAACACCTGGTTCCAGCCTTTTGTCAACATGTTCAATGGCAACATGTAAAACCTCTGAAGTCACAGCCTGGACTGTTTATCCAAACTTTCTGCATCCAAACCACCTCTGTAAAAGTTTGAAGGATTCATAAAGATACTCAGTCCTGACTCATCTCTGTCACTGAAGATTGTCAAATAAAAAAACAGCTGCTCACATCTGTGTAGGAAATCACAAGTCATTTATAATAACATGCTCAAACATGATTATTTTTACTCCTGACTCCATTCTTTCCACATATTAGTCTTTCTTGCTCGTTTCTTTGCTTTGGCTCTAAAGCATTTAAAAAGTCTGTTGGGGCCCTAAGCAAAATTCACCAGGGGCCCCTCCAAACAGCATTCATCACCATTAAAAAAAAACCAACGGCAACTTTAAGTGACCAACTTAAGTTTTCACAGGAATATTGGAACAAATTGTCAGACGGGGCCCCGTTAGGGAGGTATTCTACTGTCATTGTAAAACTTGCACATTGTGAGCCACCACCATGAGTCAAAGTTTATTGGGCTCCCTACTAGCCTGGGACCCCATTAAGTTGCCTGTTGGCTGGTCGTTCAAAACAAATTAAACTGTTTCATTAATTCAGGCAAATTGCATGTTTAAGTAAATATGCGTAAAGGGGTCGGTGCAATTCTCTACAAATCTGCACAAATAAATCACGTGTTTAAGACTCATTGATAAAAACTAGCGAGTCCATTCTCATTGAAACGGTCAAAATATAAACAACTTCTTCTTTCATCATTGGAGGTAAAAAAAAATATTGAATATAGTATTTCTACAATTCTACAATTCACTTATTGTTGCTTTTATCCAAAGCGACGTACATCAGAGAGTAAGAACAACACAAGCAAGGATCTAGAAAAAAGGGAACAATGTCAGTAAGAGCAAACGATCAGCTTTGAGTCTGATTGGACACACAGGTGCTGACAGGAAGTGACCAGAGGCAAAGCACAACATTGAGGGCAGTTCTTGAGAGCTCTAATCAGGATAGAAACCATCTTACGTATATATTAACCAAAAAAAAAGATTTAAAGAATCCCCCTAGATGAATCAAACTTAAACTGTGAAATTAAAAATAGACTTATACAAGAAATGTACATAACCTGTACAGGGATAAAAATAAAAATACATGTGCAATTTAAACAAGAACCTTTAAACAGTAATTACAAATCTGTAATTAGACCTGAATATAAAAAATAAAAAATAAAAAATAAGTGCATTAAAATACGGATAAACGAACAGACAGACTTCAAAATAACTATTTAAACCATAGACTGTAAATAAATAAATGAATAATAAATAAATAAATAATAAATACATAAATAATAAATAAATAATAAATAAATAAATAAATAAATAAATAAATAAATAAATAAATAAGATATAAACCTTTAAATAATTAATTAATTTTTTTTTTACTTAGTCATTAGGACCGCACGTGAAGCTACCGGTCTTCCCTCTGACGTCATTTGCACATCCAATCACATTTCTTTCGACCTTTCGTTCGACCAATCACAGAAGACGTTTGCGTACGGCGCATTGATGCGCGTTACGTCCGTCGCACTTTGCTGTTGTCATTTCTTGACCGTGTACATCATGTCCACAGTGGAGATCTCTACGTCCACTCCCGGTTGTTGATCTTCGCCGCGATGAGTAACCCGTGCAGAGAAGTCATCACTCTCCAGCTGGGACATTATTCAAACTTTGTCGGGACTCACTGGTGGAACCTGCAGGTGAAGGAGGAGCCCGTTAGCGGCTAACGCTGAGCTAAGCTACCTGGCGTTAGCTTTCTTTTTTTTCTGCATGTGTTGTCAAAGTTTGAGGAGTCGCTGTGATGCTAGCTGCGACATGAGTCTGCATTATACCAGATTTTACGATTATAAATCAAGTTAAACACAGAAGCTGCTGCTTAAAGTTGACTTTAGTTAAAGATGTTATTGTGCTAAAGCTGCAGACTGTTTGTGATCTTTTAAAGGAGGAGTGTTTTTGTTTGTTTTATAGTCTTTATCAAGTTGTTTCTGATTTCACACTTGAATGTTGAATAGATGTTTGTCTCACTTTCGTGTCCTCTTATAAGGGATGAGAGTAAAGTGATGTTTTTGGTGGTTTTACCTTTTAAATCACTTCTTAAAACTCACTTTTATAGACTTGCTTTCATGTGATTTCTCCTTCACAGATCTATCTCTTCCTTTTATTCATTTTTACTGCTTTTAACATTTTTATCTTTCTCTTCTTTAAATGTTTCAGCCTTTATATGTATTGTCCTGTTTACCTGTTTCTTTTTTTAATCTTCATTCTGTGTTTACAGCCTGTGATGTGATGTCCTCCCGCTCTCCCTCAATTTAAATTTTATTCTCTCCTGATTGATTTTAAACTCATCTTTCCTTCACTGTACTGAACTGCCTCTCCATTCCTGTTGACTCCATATCATTCCTGTTATTTGCATTTTTATAATTTTGCCCTCTCTGTTGATCTCTTTTCTGTCGGTCACAGCACTTTGTAAACATTTGTTTTTAAAGCTGCTGTATAAATAAAGATATTATTATTATATTCTGAATGACGATGGTGTAATTGTGTGACCTGCAGGATGCGTCTCTATCATACGACCCTGAAGCAGCAGCAGGAGACATCCAGAGTGATGTGGTGTTTCGTGAGGGACAGACTCAAGGCGGACATGTCACCCACACACCTCGCCTCATTGCCATGGATCTCAAAGGTCATTTCACCTGCAACTGAAAATATTCTCTTCGCAAAGGCAGCACGAGCAACCATTATTTATTTACTGAAGTCAAACACGTAAAGCATTCACAGCCTAAACTTATGTACAATGCCCGTTCTTAGATGAGCCTTTAAAATACATAAAACTGGACAACAAATACTCAAAAAGTCTAAAAAGCTGCAACAATACAGGATACAAAATGTCAAAACAAGTAAAACAGGAAGCACGACTCTCTTCTTTCTGATATAAATGTTTCATATTTTGTTCACTAGATAATTATTCTTGTCATTTGAAGTCCTTGAATGAACTCCAACGCATTACTCTGTAGGTGTTTGGTTGTCATCATGCTGACTCAGCTGCTCTTTGTGTGCCCATGACAGGAAGTCTACGGACTCTACGGCAGGAGGGATGCCTTTACGACCCCGGCAAAGACACGTCTGCCATCACATGGTAAAGACAACATCAACATATTTCAGTGCCCGACAGATTTGACCGTTTTCTTTTACGATCCAGATCTCAGCGTGACACTGGACGCGTTGTTTGCGTGGCACCTTCTGTGACATCATTATTCTTTGTGCAGTGAAATAAAAAAACAACGATGAACCCACTCTGAGAGAGTTTGTGCAGAACCGTTAAGAACTTCAGAGATGGAAGTGTAACAGATAACTTCTGGTTTCCTGTGATATGAAAAGTGTGTGTTTGATCCTGCAGGGACGGAAGCCTCATGATGCACCAAGAAAGTCCTCCTGCTAAGAACCCATTTCTTGAAGATCTGGACAGGTTAGATGTGAGTATTTATAGTGAAAGTATAACAGACAAGCAGCTCACGCTATTGACGTTTATGTACATTTTTTTAAATATATATTAAGGATTGTTTTGGGGGGGCTTTTGTGCCTTTTCTGGAGAGATAGGACAGTGGATAGAGTTGGAAATAAAGGAGAGAGAGAGCAGGGAATGAGATGGGAATTTTCATGTGGTTATGGGGGGGGGGGGGGGTCATTAATTACAAGGAGGGGGGGCTCAAAGGAAAATAGGTTGGGAATCAGTGGTCTAGAATATTAAACTTATGGCAGGAAACTGGCAGAAGGAGCAAACACATGGGCTGAAAGTTACCATCTTGTTGGCAGCTATATGACTTCAAAAGGTTTAGACTTTTTATTTCAGGTTTGATTGGTCGGCACACCGCTCCAGAAAAAGCTCCTTTACTTTATTACACATAAAGTTCTACAGTCCAGTTATAATATTGCTGCCTGATAGAAACATCCTAAATGATCCTGACAACCTTTTGTTTTTTTGTCTCCAGAGAGGAGAGATCCTGGCTGAAGCAGATTTTTTCTCCAGTTCTCAGCCTCACTGCTCAGGTATGAAAACCTTCTGAACTCCGCACGACGGCCGACATTTGACGTTGACCCTGAAAGCTCTCTCTCCCTCCAGCAGGTGCGTTGAGTGTGGACACTGTGAACAGCCAGCTGGCTCGAGTGCAGAAGGCCTACAGGCTGGAAGGCAGCGTGAAGGTGTGGTCCGACTTCCTCAGGATCCACCTGCACCCTCGCACCATCTCCGTCATCCACCAGTACAACCACGACGGGTAACGTGTAAACGCCTCCTGCATCATTATCGTTTCAGAAAGTTCAGTGGTCGTGTAATCAAAGCAGTGATCCCAGACTTTAACCAAGCGGACCGTTGTACAGACTAGGTTTCATACCTGCTCTCCTCCAGTAGATGGCACTCTTTACACACAACTGGGTTTGAATAAAAGACCGCTCTGTGTTTGCTGATTATTTAGAACTTTGTTTAATCTCTGACTGAACCCAACATGGTATTTAACTCTTCCACAGCTGTTTTTAAAAAACCCACATGTTGTGTTATGTCTGGTTTTATATTTGTGTCATTGTGTGTTCCAGGGAGGCTCATCGTCTGGAGGCTTTCGGTCAGGGAGAAGCTCTCCTGCAGGGGCCGGTGCTCGAGCAGCTGGAGGACAAACTGCACTTCTTTGTAGAAGAGTGTGATTACCTCCAGGTAACGCACTTTTTTGTGTGTGTTTATTTGTAAAAACAGTTTGTGTTTGACTTTAAAATACAAGTTTAAAATATGACTTTGATCTTGAGTGAATACAGATAAGTAAAAATAACTTCAGATCAAACAAATATAAGAAGAATGCACATTTCTGTGTTTGTTTCAAAGTTGGTCATTGCGCCTCCTTTCTCTGCATCTTGTTTTTTTCCCCTCTCAGGGTTTCCAGGTTCTGTGCGACCTGGCTGATGGCTTCGCAGGCTTGGGGTCAAAGGTCACAGAGATGCTTCAGGACTCTTACGGAGGGAGAGGCATCCTGACATGGGGGTTAGCACCCGTCAGCCACCCAAATTCAGTGAGTCACTCATTCAGTCTCTCTGCTGTTGTTGTAGACGTGCAGAATAAACAGATGTTTTGTAAATGGGATTCTTTTTGTTTACCCAGACTCCCATGAAGGACCTGTACCACATGTTGAACTGCACGTTAGGCACAATTCAACTGGCCAATCACAGCTCCTTCTTCTGCCCGCTGACCCTGCGTGGAGGACTTGGAAGACGACCCTCCTCTCCTATGGAGTTCCCACACCTCAACTATGATGTGAGCGTTCTCACTGTATCTCTGATGATCTGTTGAGACGTTTTAAGAGATTATTATTTGAATCTCAGTGTAACATGTCTCTCCTCTGTCCTGCATGTCACACACCAGCCCTCTCTGTGGTTCCACTCCAGCGCCGTCCTGGCTTTGGCCCTCGACGCCCTCACTTTGCCTTACAGGCTGAGGAACGACAGCGTCCCCATGTGGCAGCTGGCAGACTCACTGGCTGTATCCGGGAGAAAGGTAACCCGCTTGTGCTGTATTCTACGTTTGTCTGTATTGAAGGCTGGCCGCTTAAAAGTTCAAATGTGTCGTTTATAACCCAGGTTGTGGCTGCTTACGGCGCCATCCCCTTTCCCATGATGCACGGCGGCTCTCTCCCTGACGCCCTGAGCGCCTGCACTGATTCGCTGCCATGGAGACCTTTATCATCTTGTCCTGAACCTGGCGACGGTCAATGCTATGGACAGTGGGCGACACTTCGGGGATTTGAGAGCCAGAGACTAATCAGGTCAGATTGAATGAATATAGTTTGTAACCGTGCCGTTACAACTTATGAATGCCTTTTTAAAAGTTGTTTTTTTCACAGTCCTGTTGGAGCTTTTAAGTAGTGACTCAATATATTTAACATCCTTACACTTTTACACAAAATATTACTGATTTTAACGGAAGATTTGAGCATTTTCAGATGTCTTGAGTAGTTGTTTTGTTTTATTTTGGGCTCCTTGGAGCTTTATATGTACAAATCTAATGAAAATCACACACTAAAGAGAGGAGTTCATTGTGGAATAAAGGCTACAGAACATGAGACAAAAATGTGACCAAATGTGACCAAAATGATCATGAACCGCTGAGAGCTGTAACAAGTACTGCTCTTGTTTTTTGGCTATTTGAATATTTTTAAATAACTTGAAACAGATTTTAACAGCATGAGGCTGAGATGTAAAAAAAAACTCAATCAGATACAATCACAGCTGTATATTAAAGACATGCACGCTGAAATAATGTTCTTTCCCTCAGCTCTCTGGCTCCAGGAGACAAACCGCCCACTCCTCTGCACAGCCTGCACAGCGGGGAGGACGTCCTGGCCTCCTACATCAGATCCTTCTATCCTACAGCTCCTCTGTGAGGCCCGAAACACTTCATTTAACCTAATTTACTGTTTTCTAAAAGATGCATTTTAACCCATCAGTCTTCTCTCTTTATCTTTTACTCTCAGAGCTCTTCAGATGGTGTCCTCTCCGAGTAAGCTGACACCACCTTTCCCTCAGATGTTCAGTCAGTCTGTGGGGGCTCAGGGCTTCCTGCAGAGCCGTCTTCCACACCCCGGCTGTAAGCAGAGATGTTTAATATGATCTCTTTTGCACTGGAAGCTTTAAGATTGAATTGCGTTATATATAACATTTCTTTCTTGTTCCTGCAGCTCCAGCCCCCGTGGTCTCCTCTGCACCCGTCATGACGTCCCTCCAGTCAGGTACCGCAGTCGGCCAATGGCTGTCCGAGCTTCATCGAGGTGTCAGCGCTTTCGACATCCGCCGCGTGGCCCCAAGCTTCCTCTCTCAGGGGCCCGAAATGGCCGACTACGAGGAGGCTCTGGAGCAGCTGCGCCTACTGTCCCGGTGTTACCGCGATGACAGCGGCGGGATGATGCGCTCTTCCTCAGAGGAGGATGACGATGACTGACGCTGGCAGTCTTAGTCGCCATGATCTGGATAAAATGCTGAGCTCGGCTTGCACTCAAACGGAGACGGAAAGAGGAGCTGCGCCTCTGAGGTGTTAAGGACCAGGATTGAATTACACGCTCAATGAAAGGGCAAAAGGCAACGAATGTTACTGAGCCTGCAAGACACAGATGAGGGAATAGTAGATCTCTTAAAGAGATAGATGGGGTGTTGCGTCCCGAGACTGTATGGACTTTACATTTCATTAAATAACTGTACATCTGTAATGTTTTTATACCAAGTGCACGCTATAAAAAGAATGTATTTACATAGAGAGGTTTGGTTGTCACATCTTTTGTTTTGGGTACAGGTTGCTCTAAACATCATTTAGCTTATAGACTCATTAACTCATGCTGACAGTCACCACATCTTAAGAGAAGATAAGACAAACTTCACGCTTACACCAGATACGTGTGCATTGCATTTCCGCTCCGGTCGGTGACGACTCCCTGCTCCCTCAACACCCTGGAGAGCAGAGCCATAGAAATTCCCGCTGTAATTTTACAGATTCACCCACGACAGCGCAAGATAATATGCTGTGTGTGACAGCCAGGTCGGGAGAATCTCCAGAGCACTCCTGACATGATCTAGATATTTTCAGGAGTGCAATGTGAAAACGGCTGAAGGTTGTCAACATTTCTGAAGCTTTGATTCTTTTAAGATGTTTTTGAAACGATACATACTTGGACTAATTGAGTTTTAGAAACGACCAAAGCTTTCATTAAACTGCAGATTTAGTCATACTTTAACCCAAAGCTGTGGGGTGTTAAAGAGAGCAACTGTGATCCACTCCAATTAACAGGTTTCATACTGACATTTCATTCTCTTCCAGACAGACGGCAGGTCACTTTAATGGATTTGGGCAATTTAGACAGTATGAAGAAGTCTTTTTGCAAATGTAATTAAATGAAGGTCTTTCTTAATTTGGAGTGTCCAGGACTTTTTATTTCTGTTGCCATGGTAATGATACAGGTATCTGTATTTGATTGTTACTACTACAGCTGTGATGTTTAAAATTCACCTTATTAGAAAATATCCCCTGATGAAAACCTTCAGGTCAAAACGTGGACTATTAAATTACCAAAATCCTAAAAATAAAATAAATGTTTACATGACGATCAAACGTGTTGTCCACCCTGCCATTTCCATGTGTAACAATAGAAAATCTTTTACTTTTTGCATGCAGACTAAAGGCTAATGAAACCAAACTTTTGTGTTTTAGTCATCGTTAGTGAGGACACTTAAAATATGATTACACAGGTGTTGTTTTTGGGCTGGTAACAAGATGTTTCTAAAATGTGATTAAACGTTGACAGATTATGGTGAAAGTAGACGTGAAGTCTCGGGGCTGGAACTGCATTTGAATCTACAGAACGATTTGATCGTCATACCACATTTTAAATCACTTTCTACCTCGTTGGCTTTCGGTTTTATCCCAAAGAATAAAATAAAAAATAACAATCCAACAACAAATGTAGAACAGGCATCTTTAATCAGAAATAAAATGATACAAGGATTCCACATAAGGTGAGGAGATGCTAGAACAATTTCCCACCCAGCACTTTTACAACACAATATGCTTCTAGGTTTGATTAAAAAAAGGCTAAGACACTTACCATACCATCATTGAAACTTATAAAACTGAGATTGCACCCTGTTAATTTACAAACACCTCCATATGAGAAAGCTCTAATGAAAGAATGTCGAGGAAAAGTCAAACGAATTGAAGGAGTAGCGTGTGCATAAAAGACATTGGGCTGAGTGCCTTGTTTTCTACAGCTAGTTATCAAAAACACAGGGAGGGTGGGGGTGGGGTAGTGTTGAGGGGTCTGGGGAATGTAATTGGTGAACTGGATGGGGGTCAGGAGGGTAAGGGCTCAAGACAGACAGTCCAAAATGTGATCTAAGAACGGGAACGGGAGCGAGAACGAGACGGGGAGCGGGATTTGGAGCGGGATTCGGAACGGGATGCAGAGCGGGAGTGGGAGCGGGCTTTGACAGGTGAGGGGGAACGAGATTTGGATTTGGACTTGGATTTAGACCTGGCTCTGGATTTTGAATCAACAGGGGAGCGTGAACGGGAGCGAGAGCCCCTATCGGGCTCGCCGCCCTCGTCCTCACTCTTGGGCTGCTCGCGGCCCTTTGAGCCAGATTTCCTGGAGCGATCCTTCATTCCCGATCTGGAACGAGACCTGGAGCGAGAGCGAGACCTGGACCTGGAGTCATCCTTCTTGCCCTTCTTTATATCTTTCTTGCCCTTTTTGCTCTTGGGGCTGCGACTCCTGCTGCTGTCCTTGTTCTTCTGAGCGCCGTTGCTGCGCTCCTCGTCCTCCTTCTTGCCCTTGGGCTTGTTCTTCTTGCTACGAGATCGGCTGCGGGAGCGTGAAGCCGCTCTGTGGATAAAATCAGAGAATTATTAAGACTACACCACAACGAAGGACATCAACGACTCTTTAATAACCGATCAAACTAAAAAAGGACTTCGACAACACGAATCAGATGAAGAACAAGATGTTGACCCTGAACTTAAGACATTCTGACATCCAACATGTGAGTTGGAAAACTCCCACTAAGCGACCAGCCAAGACCCTTTGGTCAGCCTCAGATTATAAGCCAACATTTACTCTGCGTCTGGCAGGTGGAGGGTTTCAAATTTTACTACCTGATGGAAAACTGCAGCTGTAAATATCAAACTGCTGCAAGCGGCCACTTGCTATAGGCCACATGCCCAGCGGCCCAAACACCTGTGCACTTTGGAATTGTACGCATCTATTTATGGATACTACGCTCTCAACTTACTGTTAACGGGCTACCGAATACCGAAATCTCAACATGGTTTTGTACTGACAGCTGCTGAGCTATAAATTATTGTTGCTGTATGTTATAGAACACAGTGTGTTGGAGGTGGAAAGGACTTCTTCAATTGGGAGTTAGCCTAACATGTTCACTTTGTACAAACTAAACCAGACACACAGATCTCACAGGTTTTTTTTTGACAGCATAATGTCCCGACACTGATAAAAGTTTGGATTTCTCACCTTGAGTGGGAGCGACTGCGACTACTGCTCTCACTGCGGCTGCGGCTCTTGCGGGACCTGCGGCTCCTGGAGCGAGACCTGAGGTAACCATGAGGAACGATTAGCAGCAGTCACACTGATCAACAAACAAACTGAAGCTGAACTCTGCTTTGCCAGCTTATTTTCCCATAACCCTTCATGCAGTGGCTATATTTAGGCAAACATCAATACACATTAAGTAGCCATGTATACTCCCAGTGACGTCGCTCACCTGGAGCGGCTGCGACTGCGAGAATAAGATCTCTTGCGTTTGTTTCCAGGACGATCCTCGATGAGCCTGATCTTTCTGCCGTTCACTTCTGTGCCATCGAGCTTCTCCAGAGCCCGCTTCATGTCAGAGTAGAGCCTGAACTCTATCACCCCCTCGTTCCTCCGACCTTTGTGGGTGTCAGCATAGGTGACCTCCCCTGCCTGCCTCATGTAGTCCTTTAGAGAAATGGAAAAACACAGAATTCAGGAGGGGAAGCATTTACCTGACTACTTTTACTAAGGATGCAACAAGTAATGCAAAGAATAGACGAGGGACAAAAACGACATACCTTCAAGTCCTGCCAGCTGCAGCGGCTGGAAAGATTCTCAACTATGAGCCGATAATCTGTCCTTATAGGTGGACCATATCTGTCTCTTCCCCAGCGTCCATAGCCACCTTTTAATGCAACAAGGAAGGGAAAGGTAAAATGAGGATCGCAATAGAAACTGAGGTGGTGCATTTATGCTAATCTCCAAGCTACAAAGGCTAAAAAATGTGTCAATAGTGACTTGGGAAAAAGAAATAAGGAAGGGGAAAAGTAAAGGTGAAAAGACTTTAAAAAAGAAAAATAAATGAATTAAATCCTGGAAAAAAAATCTCTATTTTAAAGATGAAGTCTTTATCATAAGGCCTGAAACTATAGAACTCAGTTTTAGATTAGAACATTTTGGTAAAAGTTCAAATCAGCCTACTTACAAAAGAAGAAAGAAAAGAAATCAAATTAAAAAACATAACTGATCGAGGAAGTACTTACGGTGAACTAAAGCAAGTCTCTAAGCTATCCTATCTAAAAACATTGCACTGTTACAAAACATGTTCTTTTTTTTTTCAGGCACCTATAAGAGCTGAACCCACATCTCTTCCTAACCCCATTGCATCCTCACCACCCGGCCTGGGCCTAATGGGAAAAGCGGTCTTCATTCACAATGGCTCCCTTTTTTGGTCTGCCCAGGGGCCCAGAATGGTCAAACCACACTCTTGGAAAGGGGGGACACCATGGCCAGCAATAGGGGCAGGCAGTCAGCAAAGGACTCTTTCAATTAAAACATTGAGGTTCTTTGTTAAATCTTTACCTTTAAATTGACAATCACTTTAAATAAAATAGAAATGGAATAAGACATCAATAGATTACAAGATATTTAACAATCAAAGAGTTACTTTACAGTATTTAAATTCAAACAGTTTGATCTTCTTCATAAGTAAGCCATTTCCCCATCACATATTCACATTTTTACTGCTTTCCCAATTCACGTATGGAAGTCCAACATAGTTTTCCAAGTCATTGGTGGCTCTGGTGCACACAAAATTATCACGTTATGAGGACAATCGTCTTGTACACCTTTTGTTCAGATGGTGAAAACAACTCTAGAGTACTCAAGTGATGGAAATGGTGCTTGTCTTCAAGCTTATTTACAAGACAAGGTCTTCGGCGTGTCTACTCGAGATGCTTGTATGTTAAACAGGTAAATGAAAAGACCTGGATGGGTCAGTGGGACTTGAACAATAGAAAACCTGACGACCTTGAGATGGTGGGTGTGGATGGGTGAGTCTGACACTCAGACAATCAGACGGCTGAGATGAAAACAACCAAGTTTCCTTTAAAAGAAGTGTAAATTAAGTACTCTGGTGAGAGTACAGGAAAGATGCTGGTAGGTATTAGTAGAGCCGGACAACACTGACTGAAGACTTATAAGTTAACTACAGTTTAATGTCTTTACTTCTCTGGTTCAAAACCTCTCAGTTCCATTTCAAATAGATTTGACTGACAGTAAAATAATCATAGCATCACCCCTAGCCGTCCTTTACTACCAGGATATAAATTGAATGCACATCAGCCACCAAGGACAAGATTTAAATTTTGCCCCGTTGAAATTTAGATTGACGCTTCCCTGTAATGAATGAAATCCCTCATGAACAACAGTATTAATGTAAAATAAAAACAATACTCTACGGTAAACTTACTTCTTCCACCGCCGCCTCCGCCACCGCCGCCACCACCACCTCCTCCTCCACCTCCGCCCCCTCCTCCTCCCTCCACCTCCTCCCCCATAGCCTCCATCACGACGGGGTCCCTTGGTGTGCTCCACAATGACCCTTTCCCCACACAACTCTTTCCCGTTCAAGTCGTACACAGCATCATCTGCGTCACGGGGGTCGTCAAATTCAACAAAGCCGTACCTTTGTAGGAGAAGAGAAAGGATTTAAAACAGGATCCGGAGGAGGTCCTTCATCAAAAACACGATGGGGTACACAATTAACCAAATTACTCCTACATGAAATTTCACTGTTAACACATTAAGCAAGATAGACTAAAGGCAGACCCATTTCACATTAAAAGATGTTGTTCAGCACTAGATTTCACTGCATTGGAAAAAGCTGATGTCGTGCAATTTAACATATATTGAGTTAGGAGAGACTAGCTCTTCAATTGAATGACACACAGTAACGTACACCTCTAATTCTAAATGTAGAGGTTAACCGGAAGCCACGTAAAAATAAAAACGGCCTCTGAAAAACATTGAAACCTCCTTCAACAGCCTTTTAGTTTCACTGAAATATACGAGCATGTTGTGTTTTTGCACTGCAACAGACAGAG